TAAATTAATCTGCAACTTTAATAAAGTTTTCAGGTTTAATATCTCTATGAATTAAATTATTTTAATGTAAATATTATATTGATTAAGTTATCTATTAATATTTGTTATTATTATTATACTTAAATTAAAATCTTTAATTTCTAATCAAATGATAAATTCTATTATTATTATTTTATATAATCATATAAATCTATTTCTCCTGCTTCCATAATTATAATATCTTAGTTATTAAATTAAAATCTCTCATAAATTCTAATTAAACCAGATGATTAATAATTTGATTTTCCTTAATTAATTAAATTCTCATATTGATTTTAATATGCTATAAGATTATCAATAAATTAAATTTCATCAGCTTTAGATTAATATTGAAATTTCAATGCAAATTATTTTTAATCATTGATTCCCCAATTTTTTGATTTACATAAAAATACAGTCCCTTCTCCACCTTATCCAAGTACTTTTATTCTTTCAAATTTCCTATTTGGAAAATTTTATATTGGTGCATCAATCATACTATTACTTTACATTTTCTATTAAATAAATATATATATATAATAAAGCACAAAAAATGAAAAATTGTGAATTATATATATTTTTTATAATTGAATCGAGAATTAGACAGAATTCTATTTGAAGAAAATGTTGCTTGTTAACCATTTTTATTAAAACTCCGTAATCCTTAGTTGTTCTTTTTATTTGAGTGTCTTTAGTTGAATTAAATTCTATTTCCTCTTAGATTCAATGAAATGTAATTTTGAATGCTCTTCTTTTTTAAATTTTCGATTTTTTTTCATCTTTAATTTATTGTCTTTGATTTGTTAATTGAAGTCTACTAATTTATTTAAAAATAATTTGCTATCCTTCAATGACATTGTTTAAACTTTAGGAAATTAAAAGTACCTCTTTAGAAGTTGAAATCCTTTTTGTAAAATATAAGCAAAATTAATTGCATTTTTAATGCTTATCCAGAATTGGGTAAGATTCATAAGTTATCTAATTTTCAATTTTTAATTTGGTTCTATGATTTTATAAATACTTACTTTTTATAATCTGCTGCTTCACTATATCTATATCTTAGCAGTATTTGCACCTAGACTTTTGCGCCTGATAATTTTTTTCCCTCAGAAAAATATTTTATTTTATATTGCAAAATAAATTGTTCTTTAATAAAAATCCATTAGACAACTCCACAAATTTCAGTTTTTGGCTTTCAAAGATTAAACTAAACTTTTTTTATAATTTAAAATATTTCTTCTTGGAGGTAGAATCTTTAAAGATTTTAAAATTTGATGCTAATCAATTGTCAGCCTATTAAGGCATGATACTTTAAGGAAAGCATTTGACAAAACTTACTTTATCAATTATTACATCCGAATACTTATTAGGAGATCTATTTGATAAAATTTACGTACAAAATTTGAATGAAATATAAATTGAAGCGTTGTAAAGTCAGTCAAAAAACCTAAAATAATTAAGAATTGCTAAAGCTTTCTTTATCATAAAAAACTAGAGAATTGATTAGAAGCATTTGCTTATATTGGTTATTTAATTTACTTGAGATCTTCTTTCGCCAAACTTATAACTCTATCAGAATCCTAAACTGATTTAAATATGCAATTATTTCATTCAAAGTGAATAAATCGTTTGTTAACCATTTTTAATACCCAATATAAATTTGATTAGTTTCAATTATATAACATTTAAGATGTGCTCACAAGTAATCACTGATGATGCTAGATTTCCCATGTAATAATATCTCAAAATTAATGCTGAATGTAGCTGTTTGATTGATTCAAGTAGTTGCATAGCTTATTGAAGTGACACAACCTAAAAATAGGAAATAAATTTTATATATTATGTTTTGAGGAATTCTGTTTTTATAATAAAAAAAGGAGGAAAGATTTTTCTGAATAAAACTCTTTGAACATACTTTTCAAATTTGGATGACCCATAGGTCTTGGTTAATCCTGCTAATAAAAGTAATAGCCACCCTATATTAATTAAATTTTTACTAATTATATATATTCTAAACCTTTAAGAGATAAAATATAGTACTTAGAATAAATCTCATGGGTATATAACATTAGATAGAATCATAAGGGTTGAAAATACATTTTATCAAATCAAATTTAGATATACCTTCCAGAATATCCGATACAATTTGTAACTATATTTCCTAGATAACATTGATCAAAAATAGAGGATTCATAAAATTGTTTAGGTAAAATTATTATGGAAATACAGAATATTCTATTTCTCTTTTTGATGGCTTTGGAGTAAGGTGAAACAGGTTTTTTCCAATTTTCATTTTAATATTACTTCTAAGTAGCATAAACTTAATAAAAATGATGGGTATTAACAATTTAAAAAGACTTTTCTACATAATCGTATCGTGTAAATTTTAATTCATTTCTAAACTAAAATAAAAAAATTAATGAAAAATATTTATCTAGCTCTTTGTAATATCTTTTTAATTTAATATTATTAAACCTTCAATCGACAGTAAGCACTAATCCCTTAATTTTTTATTTCTCATATTTGTAGGTGGTATAATATTACTAAACTTGTTAGGTTCTTTTCCTCCTTTTATAGCAAAGACGATAAAACTGATTGATATTACTTCTTTTTATTTCTTAAATAGTGGAACTTTTTTTAAGATTAATAAATTAAGAGCAACCATTATTACTCTAAAAATCTAAATAACTTAAACTCCTTGCAGATCTTCTAGAAATTTTAGTGTAGATATATGATTTAAGTAATTTTGATATAATATGTGATATAACAAGTGTTATAGATTTAGAATAGTAGATCTAAATTGATTAAGCTTTTCTCAAAATAACTAAAATTTAATCTGTAAATTAACCCTTAATTAAATTGAATTGATGTTTAATCAAATAGATTTATAAAAAAATCATTAAAATTTCCATTTTTTATTTAAATGAATACACTCAATAATTAAAATAAAGTTAATTATGTTCCAAGGTTAGAGTTGTTCCATTAAACAATTTTTTTTCTATACAAAGTAGGATTAATCTTGACCTATTACTATTTTTAGTCTTTCATTTAAATTACTAGAACTAAGATTTATATCAAAATTGAAAAATTTGAAAAGAGAAATAATATACATTATTAGGCTCTTTATAGATTATTAAAGCAGGAAACAATTTTAAACTTATAGACTGTGGTTTAATTAATAGTTTGATATCTGAAAATAAAACAATAAAGGTTGAATTCCAATCTTTCAAGCACCAGAAAGCTATAAAGTATGATATCTTATAATTAATTAAAATACAGTTACTAATTAAATAAATTATAATAGGATTCAAATAAAGAATGATTTTATAAGATTTTTTAAAGTAACTAATTGAGTATATTAAAGAGTTTACTTTTTTTGGTTCAACAAAAATTTCTTATTCAGTAGAATTTAATTAAAAATAATATTTAAATAGATTAATTTTACCCTTATTTTTTTTTATCGTAATCTATTTAACCATGTATCAACTGGTTGGCTATATTATATATTATTAAAATTTACAGAAAATAACCTAACTAAAATATAACAACAAAATTATGTTAATGCTTACTAAATTTAATTTTTATTTTAATATATAGATTGATTTTAAAAACTTAAGAGCTATTTAAATTTATTTAGAATTAGAAAGAAATTCCAAATCAAAAATTCTTGACTTTTCATAGATTAAATTAAATTTGATAGAATGAACCTCAAACTCTTTTAGAAATCTCCCGCAACGATAATAAATATAACTTTTAGTTAAATTCTTAAATTTATTCACATATTTCCATTTTATAATCTACTCCTCACAATTATGATTTTGTTTGCTATTTAACTTACTCTTCAATTCTTTTTCTAAATTAATAATAGTCTCTATACAGAACAGTGTTATCTTTTTTCAACAAGACTAAAACTCCATTCTTAATAGTATTAATGACATCTCTTCCAAGCATACCTATCTCTATCAAGATAACCTCTGTTGGAAAAGTATATACTTAGGTATAGACAAAACACAAAACATCTTAAATAGTTCATTTTTTAATTTATACTCCCCTATTCAAACTAACTCTTTTCAATAGAAACCTAATTTATTATCAAAAACACTATTTACATCTATTTATCGAAATCTCTCCTTTCATTTTAAAAAATGGTTAGAAGGAATTAAACTTCCATTTTATAATATAATTATTTTAATTGTGTAAGTAAATATGAAAGTATAAATATTAAAGAATCATGTATTATAAAAAATCTGTAACAATTTCTAAAATTATATCATATTAATTTAACAAATGTTCTACTTAATTGGTTTAACTTATTCAATATTTTGTAATTTAAGATCCTTTTAGTTTATATATATCTTTATATATTTAATAAATAAATATGATAAATTTTGTAACTTTAGAATTTTAAGAGTCAAATTGAACTAAACCCTGGGCTTATCATATTTAATATTTATCTTTTTTAGGTAGCTAAGTTCGAATTTTTTAAATCACTATTTCATATTTACTTTGAGTCATTTGTTACTCATAATCTTTCTATACAATAGAACCCCTAAAGTTACAATTAATTATAAAAGAAATTAAACTATCTTGTAAATGTTAAGTAATTATTTGTAATAAATTTATGATTATACTTATAATTGCTTACTTTAAAGTCAATTAGACAATAATTATAAATAGATCAATATAATATTTTTAATAAAGTGAAAACTTTTATGGTATATTCTACATTATGCCTTATAAAATTAAAATTATATTTTCAAAAGAAAAATTACGATTAATAAAATAATTTATTAAAATATAACCATAGAAACATAAGATTTATCTCAAGTAATTCATGAAATATTCAAAAATTAGTTAATTTAGACTAATAAAAATAAATAATTTAGTTTAAATTTTTATTTATATTTATTATTAATTTAATATAATAAGTTTATCAATAATTCAGATAAATAATTATTTGTTGATAATGTTATTTTATAAATTCAACAAAAATTTTCGTTTAAAAGCTAGACCAATTCTAAATATTGTTTATTATTTTTTTTCATAAATTCTTATAGATTCTACTTATTCTTGAAGCGTTCTATTAAGGACTCAACTTGTTTTTCGGGGGTTTTCAATTGCTCAATTTACTATTTAAATTGGATCCTACTTTTTTTATTATTTTTCTATTACTCTTCTAATACTTTTAATTCTTTTTTTAAATTTGTAATTTAATCCAAATACTACTTACCTTATTTCTAAAATTCCAATCTTAAATTTTCAATAAGATTATTGTATTCCTATGATGATGATATATTTAAATAAGGATTCTCACTTTTTTATTCTTAAGTATATGTTATTTCTTAAATGATTGATTATTAATCTTAAGTTTATATTTAACTTTTTTAAACTTTTTCTTAATTTTAAAAGATGTCTACTAAACTTTTAGCTTTATTTAGAGAAGTACTTGATTCTTTTAATTTATCTTAGATTTCTTAAATTAGTGTTTCATTATTTTAGTTTTTAATAAACAACTTTTATAATTCCTAATTTTTATTTTCATTCTCCTTTTTTAAATTTTCAGAAAATTAATTCATTTTATTTATTTTTTCCTCAAATTCTTTTATTTCTTTATTTAGTTAATTTTTTTCTGTATTGAATTTTACTTCTTCATCTTTGATTTTCTATTTGAATCGTTCTATCTCTAATTTAAAATTTTATTAATCGTATTCAAGTTGTTTCTTTTGTTGACTATTTTTCATAAAATAAAGTTTACTTTAAATTTTCTACTTATTTTATCAATTCATTTATTTCACCACTCTATTAATCTATTTTATTTTAATTAATTTTATTTTAAGTTTGAAACTCATTTTTTAATTCATTTATTTTACCTTCATAAAAACTCTTTTAATTTGTTAGGGTATCTTTAATCTATTACTATCCATCCTTAATTAACTTCTCAATTACATCATTGCATTAAGTAATATATTAATCTAAATGAAGTGGAATTTATGGAATTACTATAGGTTATGGATTTAAGTAACTATTGAATTAATCATAAACTTATTATATTGATGGCCTTTTCTTTTCATCATAAATTAGCATTGAAATTAAAATGGTTTTTAATTATTATGAAATTTATAATTAATTGATTTTCTAATTAACAGGAACTGGGTAATTTTTATGATTTTTAATATTTTTAGTTACTTCTTAATGAGTTTATCCTAAGATTATAAATTTATTTATACCATCAAACAAAGGTTAAGTTGCTAATATTTCATAAAAAACACATCCTAATGACCAGATATCAACTTTATCTGTATATGAGCTGCTATTTTCTATAATTTCTGGTGCTTGAAATATTGTACTACCAACTTATTAAGTTTTATTTTCAGATATAGAACTCCTAATTAAACCAAAGTCAATAAGTTTGAAAACATTTCCTACTTTAATATAATTTTCTGGTTTAATATCTCGATGGATTAACTACTATTTATGTAGAAATAGAATTGGGTAAATAATCTATAATTATATTTATTAAAATATTTACCTAAAAACAAATTTTTTCCTTTTCTTATATTGATACATTCCTACTGTTATTTATGAAACGATATAAATCTTCTTGTCCAACTTCCATAACAATGCAATGATTCTATTACCATTAAAAATTTTCATATATTCTGATTAAATAAGTAGGAAGATATTATTAATTATTTCCATTTTCATATAAATTTTGGTACTCTAATAAACAACTAAGAAATTATTTTTCATTAGGTTTCATGTTTTTTTGTATTTTAATTACTACTTATTTAGGATTATTGCCCCAATCGGAAGAGGAAGCAAGAAAGGCTCCTCCTTTCGAGCCAGAACCAAGAAGTTTAGTTAAATGAAATCTCCTTTTTGGATATTCCTCTGTCTAAGCATCCAAAAGTGTATTGACTAATTAGTGATATTGCATATTCATATTCCTATTTCTATTAAAATATTAAATAAGCAAAGGATAGTAATTAAATTAATTTTATTGTTAGTGAAACTCTTAAATGTGAAGTATTTTTATTATAAATAAATAACTTTTTGATGTTAGTTTTATTCCTGTTGCTAATTGATATTATTTTATTGATTAACTTCTATTCAATATATAAAAATATATTCAAACATTAATAAAATTAGAAATTCTTAATAAAACAAGAAAATAAATCTATACTTAAGATACTTCCTATAGATTATAATAATTATAAATGAATTTCTAATGAAAATTATGTTCTAAAATGATTTATTATATTATATATTTTAATTAAAATTGGCAAACTTCATTAATTTTATTCTTACATATCTTTAAACCATATCAATTTTCATATATACCTAATGTCTTGAAGTTAATCAATCACAAATTAAAAAAGCTCAAGACAATTCTTTATTATCTATTTTATTTTCATGAGTCTTAAGTCTTTAAAATTTGTAAAATAGATTTAAATTAATGCTTAAAATAAATGTATCGACTCCTACAAAATTCATATTAGTATCAAACTAAAACTCTTTAATCAAAGTGATATTTTTTAATTATTATTTATTCTATACTATATATTTATTTAATAGAAAATGTAAAGTAATAGTATTATTGATGCACCAATATAAAATTTTCCAAATAGGAAATTTGAAATAATAAAAACACTTGGATAAGGAGTATAAGGGAGTGTATTTTTATGTAAATCAAAAAATTGGGGATTCAATGATTAAAAATAATTTGCATTGAAAATTCAATATTAATCTAAGGCTGATGAAATTTAATTTATTGATAATCTTATAGCATATTAAAATCAATATGAGAATTTAATTAATTAAGGAAAATCAAATTATTAATCATCTGGTTTAATTAGAATTTATGAGAGATTTTAAATTAATAACTAAGATATTATAATTATGGAAGCAGGAGAAATAGATTTATATGATTATATAAAATAATAATAATAGAATTTATCATTTGATTAGAAATTAAAGATTTTAATTTAAGTATAATAATAATAACAAATATTAATAGATAACTTAATCAATATAATATTTACATTAAAATAATTTAATTCATAGAGATATTAAACCTGAAAACTTTATTAAAGTTGCAGATTAATTTAAACTTATTGATTTTGGATTAATTAGACAAAATTAAGGTAGGATAAAGACAATGGGAATTGGTACACCTTTGTTTTAAGCTCCTGAAATTGTAGAAAATAGTTAAAATTACACAAAAGCAGTAGACATTTGGTCACTAGGTTGTGTATTTTATGAAATTTTGACTTAAGTATCTTTATTTTAAGGTATATAACTTTTGTAAATATAGGGAAAACTCATTAAGAATTAATAAATATGATTAAAAATTGTAAAATTGATAAGAAATATCTATTAGAAAGATTAGACTAATTACCAAAAACAGGTAAAAATGATGATGAATTAAAGACCTTGTTAATATAAATGTTAGAACCTTTTGATTAATAAAGAATAGAAATAAATGTTGTTGTTTAAAAATTAAAAACTATAAGTTAAAAAGATAATAAATTTTTTTAAATACCATAATAAATATCTAATAATGAGATAAAATAATTAGAAGATTTAATAAAATAGATGGGATTAGAATTAAATAATATAAATCAAGAAATTAAATAAAATAACAATATTGAAAATTAATTTAAAATTATTGTTTAAGAATAATTTAATAAAATATAGTTATTGATGTAAAATTAAATACCTTAATAAGATTAAACAACTGAAATATGTAAATTTATATAATAAAATATAAATGAATTAAATTAATCAATTACAAATTAGATTATGNATTAATCTAAGGCTGATGAAATTTAATTTATTGATAATCTTATAGCATATTAAAATCAATATGAGAATTTAATTAATTAAGGAAAATCAAATTATTAATCATCTGGTTTAATTAGAATTTATGAGAGATTTTAAATTAATAACTAAGATATTATAATTATGGAAGCAGGAGAAATAGATTTATATGATTATATAAAATAATAATAATAGAATTTATCATTTGATTAGAAATTAAAGATTTTAATTTAAGTATAATAATAATAACAAATATTAATAGATAACTTAATCAATATAATATTTACATTAAAATAATTTAATTCATAGAGATATTAAACCTGAAAACTTTATTAAAGTTGCAGATTAATTTAAACTTATTGATTTTGGATTAATTAGACAAAATTAAGGTAGGATAAAGACAATGGGAATTGGTACACCTTTGTTTTAAGCTCCTGAAATTGTAGAAAATAGTTAAAATTACACAAAAGCAGTAGACATTTGGTCACTAGGTTGTGTATTTTATGAAATTTTGACTTAAGTATCTTTATTTTAAGGTATATAACTTTTGTAAATATAGGGAAAACTCATTAAGAATTAATAAATATGATTAAAAATTGTAAAATTGATAAGAAATATCTATTAGAAAGATTAGACTAATTACCAAAAACAGGTAAAAATGATGATGAATTAAAGACCTTGTTAATATAAATGTTAGAACCTTTTGATTAATAAAGAATAGAAATAAATGTTGTTGTTTAAAAATTAAAAACTATAAGTTAAAAAGATAATAAATTTTTTTAAATACCATAATAAATATCTAATAATGAGATAAAATAATTAGAAGATTTAATAAAATAGATGGGATTAGAATTAAATAATATAAATCAAGAAATTAAATAAAATAACAATATTGAAAATTAATTTAAAATTATTGTTTAAGAATAATTTAATAAAATATAGTTATTGATGTAAAATTAAATACCTTAATAAGATTAAACAACTGAAATATGTAAATTTATATAATAAAATATAAATGAATTAAATTAATCAATTACAAATTAGATTATGAATTAATAATAATAATAATAATAATAATAATAATAATAATAATAAAATAATGAAAAAGAATAAAATTAAATAAATTTATAAATAATTAAAATAAATAAATATGAATAAGAGATTTAATAAATGATTATTAAATGTAAAGAATATTAATAAATTATTGAATAATAAACTAATTAATTATAATAATATTAATAAAATTAAAATAGATAATAAGTTGAATTATAAGTAAAAGACATTAAAATTTAAGAATATCTTAATAAAATTAAAGAATAATAAGACTTAATTTAAAATTATGATTAAAAATAAAAATAATTAGAAATTAATATTGAAATTTAATTAAAATAAAATAGTATTTTATAATAATAAGTATAATAATTAGATTTATTTAATACATAATAACATTAAAAATATTAAGAATTATTAGATTAAAATAAAAGTTTAACTTAAACAATAGAATAATAACAATCTAATATTTAAGAATTACTTAAATAATAATAAAATTTATATGATAAATAGAAAACATAAGATAATAAGATTTAATAATATTTAAATGAATTAAAAATTATTAATAATAATTAATAATAGAATATTTCAAATTTATTATAAAAGTAAGAAATAAAAGGAAAATCAGAATTTAAATAAATTGAATAATAATAATTTAATATAAATTAATAAAATTGTGATTAATAAATGTTTTAATTAAAATCTTAGATAGAAAATATGTAAAATTATATTTAATAATTATAATCTTAAATTGAAATAAAAAATAGGTAAATTCAATAACTAACAGAATAAAATAATGAATTGAAAAACAAAAATAAAGAATTAAAGGAATCATTACAAAAATTAATTTTAAAAATACAAACTAGTGATCAAGAATAAAATAATGCAAAATAATAATTTAAAGATTAAAATAAATAATAGAATCAATTTCAAGATAATTAAAATTAGTATGATAAATAAAAAATTGGTATTTATCAAATAGAATAATAAAGTCGAAAATAAACATATGGCATGATTTCTAAAATCCCATGAATATACCAAATTTAGAAATTGTGGAACAAGAGTAAAATAAAATGAAAAATGGTATATTAAATTCTTAATTTAGCTTAACAAATTAAATTAAAATCTTGTCCTGCCAAAATAATTTAAGAATATAATGAAATTACTACACTTTCTCAAATTAATCATGAAGATGATTAAGATAATAGGTGATTATTATATTATATTAAGGTGTAAAGCCATTTGTGCTCATGAATCACTTTAAAATTAAATTAAGTGAAAAAAGAAAAATATTTTGATGCATATTACCAAATTTTAGATAAATTATTTCAGTTAATCGTAAAAATTATTTAAATAAAAAAAGAAAAAGATGGGTTTAATTTAGATATCAAATTAAAAACAGTATTTATTTTTTACACTTACTTTGTATTTCAATAGTCGAAAATATTAGGGCCTACACTTTTCAATCAACTAAGGTTAGTTTTGCATAATAGGTAATTGGCCTAAAAAGTCTTTTTTTTTTTAAACTTATTAATTATTTTATACAATTAAAAATTTTACAAAAATTATCATACAGATTTAAATAATAATATATAATTGTTGTAAAAATAAATATTATAGACAAATCTTGATTATGATTTTCTTTTTATAATTATTTAAATGAAAATTTTAATCAAAAATCTTTAAGTTCAAGCAAATAAAAAATAACTTTGATTACATTAACAGATTTTTTTGATATTTCTGATGAAAAACTACTTAAAACTTTATGAATTAAGGTTAATTTATCAATAGTTTTTGAGAATTGATTTTTACCATTTTGCTTTTTCAATCCCTAAAACAGTATAAGAATACAAGTATTATTATATGAGGAGCATTTAAATATAATAAAGTCAAGTATTTATTTCATTTAATGGTCTCTTCCTNAAAATCTTAGATAGAAAATATGTAAAATTATATTTAATAATTATAATCTTAAATTGAAATAAAAAATAGGTAAATTCAATAACTAACAGAATAAAATAATGAATTGAAAAACAAAAATAAAGAATTAAAGGAATCATTACAAAAATTAATTTTAAAAATACAAACTAGTGATCAAGAATAAAATAATGCAAAATAATAATTTAAAGATTAAAATAAATAATAGAATCAATTTCAAGATAATTAAAATTAGTATGATAAATAAAAAATTGGTATTTATCAAATAGAATAATAAAGTCGAAAATAAACATATGGCATGATTTCTAAAATCCCATGAATATACCAAATTTAGAAATTGTGGAACAAGAGTAAAATAAAATGAAAAATGGTATATTAAATTCTTAATTTAGCTTAACAAATTAAATTAAAATCTTGTCCTGCCAAAATAATTTAAGAATATAATGAAATTACTACACTTTCTCAAATTAATCATGAAGATGATTAAGATAATAGGTGATTATTATATTATATTAAGGTGTAAAGCCATTTGTGCTCATGAATCACTTTAAAATTAAATTAAGTGAAAAAAGAAAAATATTTTGATGCATATTACCAAATTTTAGATAAATTATTTCAGTTAATCGTAAAAATTATTTAAATAAAAAAAGAAAAAGATGGGTTTAATTTAGATATCAAATTAAAAACAGTATTTATTTTTTACACTTACTTTGTATTTCAATAGTCGAAAATATTAGGGCCTACACTTTTCAATCAACTAAGGTTAGTTTTGCATAATAGGTAATTGGCCTAAAAAGTCTTTTTTTTTTTAAACTTATTAATTATTTTATACAATTAAAAATTTTACAAAAATTATCATACAGATTTAAATAATAATATATAATTGTTGTAAAAATAAATATTATAGACAAATCTTGATTATGATTTTCTTTTTATAATTATTTAAATGAAAATTTTAATCAAAAATCTTTAAGTTCAAGCAAATAAAAAATAACTTTGATTACATTAACAGATTTTTTTGATATTTCTGATGAAAAACTACTTAAAACTTTATGAATTAAGGTTAATTTATCAATAGTTTTTGAGAATTGATTTTTACCATTTTGCTTTTTCAATCCCTAAAACAGTATAAGAATACAAGTATTATTATATGAGGAGCATTTAAATATAATAAAGTCAAGTATTTATTTCATTTAATGGTCTCTTCCTTTCAAATTCATAAAAAAGTTTGTAATTCATTTTTATTTTCATTATGAAAACATTATATATATGATCTCAAATGAATAGCAGTCCAAAAATTTTAACCCATCCAAACATGAATCAACTTTGGAAATTTTAGAAAAAAATAAATTTTGAAAAACTTTATTGAATCTTATTATCTTGCAGATGTATCATACCTGGTTTTTCTTGATCATCGAGATTTACTAATAGCAATTGTCTTCAGTAAATGAAGTCAGCTTACTAACACATCAATATGAATCCTAAATTGAATTTTAATAAAAAGTATCTTTATAATTTTTGAGAGTATTGAAGGTATTTATAAAGTATAATTTACTATTAGTAGGTTCACTAGGTTTTTGAAATTGAATTATTAATTGATGATATAATCAGAATAAATAAAGATAGAAAGTAGATGGAGGTATTTTACTCCAATAATAAATGGTTTGTGATAAGAAATGCTTTTGTATATCAAGATTGAGTTCAAGAATATTCCAATTTCGAATTGGTTGAGTATATATATGAATAACAAGATTTAACATTTTTTTTATTATTGCTGATTAATGATATGTTGAATTATCTAATAATAATATTTAATAATTTTCTGAAAATTATTTTTTTAACCAAATATAGTTAATCATTAAGAAAATCCATAAAGACTTAACTATTTATTTTGATAATCAAGCATGTGAATGTTGAAATCCTGATAAGAGAATTTCTCCAATCATGCTTTCTTTTGTTGATGAAGATTATGTCAACATTATTTTATTATTTATTTTTTGATTTGCGAACAATATAAATAAGTGTACAAGTTTTGATTATTAATTTTTAGAATCCAACTAATAGCTATTATTGATATGTATAAATGTTGTAATTAGCAAAGCCAATAAGAATATTAGTTGTAGACTTATGATTATTTTTGAAAAAAATAAGTTAACCATTACTTATGTATCACTTAAAATGTAATTACTTACTTCATCTTAAAAATTTTATCAGTCTTTATCAATTTCATATTATATTTACCAAAACCAATCGATGTTTATAAAATTATTGATAAATATTCTGGTTTTGAATTATTTCATTTTAAATTGAATTCTTAAGCCTTATTGAGCAAATAAATTATTATTTATCTTTTTAAATCCATGGAGGTGAGCTTTTCAAGTCAAGATAATCAGATAATAGCTTTGAGAAATTAAAGCTCCTTCAAAACTAGAATTTATTTCTTTTCAACGATTGAATAAATGATCTCAATTGGCCAAGTTTTAACTTGATCTAAAGTCAATAAAAAGCACTAGCCTAGTTATTTTAGGGTTGATGTGAGTTTATTAAATAAAAATGGGAGCTCGCAGTCAATATTTCTGAGCTTTATATCAAATGAAATTAAAATGTCTAAAAACTCTTGTTATGTTTTCTATCTCAATTAAATATGGGATATCTAAGTTATAAACTATTTATGGATTTCAACAAAAATTCTACTATCCCTCTAATGGAGGGTTTGCAATTTGTTAATAAAAAGATAATTAGAGCTTGATTAAATGATTTTGTTATTTGTAAATATATGATGAGAGTGTTATATCCATATTTAATTACATAATAGTTGGCTTGAGAGACATAAATCGTTTAGTTTGATTGAAAATTTATATTACCAGAATGTTGTATCTCCTGAATTATTGATTATATTGATATTTTTTTAATTGATTGTTTTCGAAATAGTCAAGAGAATGAGTATGTTCGGAATTAATAACAAGCTAAAACTACATTTTTTACTATAAATATTTTCATCATAGAGTACTTGCATTAGCTTGTAGACCTTATTTTTTGATTGAATTTCGTGTTATTTTTAGTTTTAATTATTAATGTTTTTATAATTTGGAAATTCAGTAGAATGCTACTAATGGCAGTTTGACTTAACATAATGATTGTACTATATTTTATTTTTTCTTATTCTGAAGAATTACACAAAAGGATTTCTTTTTCATTTATAGTTGAATGATTGTCCATTCCTTTTTGTTTAACTTGAGGGCTAAATTTTTTAATACCTATTCAAGTCCTGTAATAATTTGTTTTGCATATCTATTAAAATAAAAAATCATTAGATCATCTTCATTAGAGTAATACTTATATGAATATATATGAATTGCTTATATTGTTTTGAGATTCGTCAAATTTAAGTATTTATATTATTGTTATTATTTGGTTTCTAAATAGTCACAAATAAGTTGCTATTATTAATTAAGGTAATTATTTTTAATTACTTTTGTTTTAAGATGGTCTGATAGCTGAATTATTTAGTTTCTTCCTTACAGCTCATCTTTCTTACCAAATTGGTTCATTTTGATTTTGGGTGTTATTTTACTGTATTTTATAAATATGGGTTCAGTAATTCTGTTTATTCTCTGAAGTTAAACCTCATTCACAATTAAATTACTTACTATTCTTCTAATTAGATTACTACTTACCAATACATTGTTATTCTTAATTTTATTATTTTTGTCAATCTAATTATTTAAATTGTCTCCTTATTAACGGCTACTAATCATCAAATATCAAGCATTTTATAAACTTATATTTTAACTTGAAGTCTCAGAATCTGTTTAGCAGTTTACGTTTAAGCATCTACATTGATTAAAAAAGAGTGAAACGATTAAATGCCATTGTAATTGTGTAGTATGAAAAATATGGTTCTATTAATATTTTAAACAAATAAAATGAGTCTTTGCTTACGATCTATTCTTCTTGAAACTTTAATTAATTATAAAATTTTAAATTGGCTATTTACCTTATTTATCTCATGACGGATCCATAATTTACCACTATAATAATTATATACTTGTATTCATAAATAGGAAACTATTGTATTATATTTTTGTCTGACTAAAATTGTAAATGCATTATTTCAGATTTCACTTTTATTAAATAATAGTCTCTACCCTTACTTTTATTAAGCATATTTAGTAAATTAGGGACATTGATGTTTTGATATTTTCGTGTAAAAAACATTAATCTGTATAAGCCAAGACATCTATCTTATTATCTGTTATGTGTTTTACTTCTATCAGAAAGCAATCAATAAATTTTGAACGAAAGTGGTGAGATTGATGACCCTTATTTAAGTCCAAGTTTAAAATACACCTTTTTTTCTAAATTATACGGATTAATGTAGACAAGTTCGCGCTTAAAGAAAAATCTATTTATTCACCTTCAATAAACGACAAAGTTTCATGATTTAATATTATCTCTCCATATTCACTGTGTTATAAGACACTCAAAAAGTCTATAAATATCATAGCATTGAAACCATTCTTCTTTTGATCCATTCCATGATCACATAAATCTTCCGTTGTGTGCCCAGTCCTCTGAAGAATCCAGTCTAATTTTTCAATATACCTCCTTCCATATAAGTCACCAGCTTTTCCCTAAACCTCAACTCCATTATCTTAAACATAGGGCCTACTATTACAAGTGGTCTACATTCATTATTTTATAGGAAAAGGAGAGCCCAGCCAAATTTTTTATTGATTTGAGAGCTGTTTTCCTTTCAAGTATTTTAAAGAAGCTGAGAGTTAGTCTAAATGAATTATTGTGAAACACCATTATATGATATTGATTCATCTCTTGCCATTTGACTTTGCAATTCCTACACCACCTATACAATGGTTAAATCGTTCATGACAGGTTTTCTATTAGTGTATATTTGCCCCTGTGTAGATACTTATGAAATTATTCCATAGAGCTAGCAAAATCTCTTGGTTTATATGTATTATACCATCTTAATGAAGCAGCTGAATATTCCATCAAGGCTCTTCTAATTCCTCGATTTAATTGTTTTTCCCATCAATTCCAACACTATATTTTCTCTATCTATATATCAGTAACTCTTTTAATTTTTATTCCTTCCTTGGGGATCTAATTCTTCCAAACTAACTTGTTTTATTATTTTAAAAAGCAATTTAAATCTTTAACATTATTCTATAGTGACTCGCATCCTTTATCTACTTTAACTTTATTAATTTTAGATTAATATTTTTTCTATTGCTTCTACAAGTAAAGGATTAGAGCTATTATTCCATTCTTTTAATGTCTAATGTCCTACTTTTTAACTCTATAAAATATGATATGATCTGTAGCTTTTCTAGTTTACTTTCCATTTCTTAATTAATATGAAAATAAACAGTAAAAAGAGATAAGTAGCAAATAGAGTTCTCAAAATTTATTATTAAGATATAAAACTTTCTATACTTCTCTTTATCTACTTCTATGTCTGAAGAATAATAATCTGTGATGTTCCTCAATTAAAATTATATTTGAACACCAACATATACTCCTCTTGAGTGAGTTGATTACTATAGAATGTAAAACATTTGAACTTGACTGAGACTTAGAATTATTGGTTTCTACCCTCTTAGAGGTGTTTTGAAATTCTTCTGGTCATCATGTTCAATTTCATATCTATTTAATAATAATATCTAATAAGTAATCGAACTTTTCTTTCTTAAACAGCATTTTTATAATTTATTTATCTCATAAAATTTTTAACAATTTTCATCTTAAATACTATAAGATTAATGAATATTTTAAATATATTTATTTCTACAATCTTATTTTGAATTGGTATGTCATACTCAATAAAGAAAAATACTTCAAATTTGAAAAAAATTAAAAAATATAGATATTAATTCAATGTATTAATATTAAACAAATTTATGAATGAGCTTTCAATTTCATATTAAAAAATTAACATATATTGGAAGCTTAAAAAATAAAAACTTGTTTTAAACCAAAAAAATTAAAATATCTAAACATAGAACATGAAATAATATTCAAATAATAGAAAGTGAAAATTGACTCAGACAACTAGCTATAATGAATCAATGTATTTTATATTAACTATGGTTGTCTACCTTTTATCATCTATAATAGTTCTGCATTTAAAGGCCAAAATCTTATAAGTTTGGCTACTAAAAACAACTTCCCAACAAAACATTAAGCTGTTGATGTATGTTCAATAATAAAACATTCGATAAAATAATATCTTAAATGGAGTTAGCACCATTTTTAATCAAAATCTTGCATATTTGAGCAAAATAAACCTGATTAAGCCTGGTTTATTAATGTGATTAAGATTTAAAGGTTGAACATCTTCTCTTCAAAAACTTAAACCTGGTTTTACTAAGGACGGTCTTGTGTAACTAATATTATAATATATGCTAATCTAACAAATTAATACATTTTTTAGCTTTTAAAAAAAAGCCATTGCTTTTGAATTGATAAGTTAAAGTATAATAGTGGAAATAAAAAATGATGGCTGTCAAAAATCTATCAGAGAGAGCTATTGAAAGAAAAAATATTTTGAAGTTGAATGAAGATTTGAAATTTAAAAAATAAATTTAATAGAAAAACATAGCTAATGATAAAATTAAAATATAACGAATCAATGTCATTTCATTTTAATTGTTTAAGTGTATTTCTTTCAAATATAAAATTATGAAAATTGTAAAAAAACAATAAATGCTCTTAATTTGAAAATCTAGAAATTTTATTGAATATATTGATAATAAAAAAATATTTAATCGTTTTTTTGAAATATTAAACATTGAGAATATTTATAATTAATTTTAAACTTTTTATTTAGAAGAAAAATCAAAAATATTTAAGATTAGAGTTAAAATGCATCAAGTTTGATTTTTTTGTAATATTGAAATGCAATAACTAAATTGATTGCCATTTAAAATAATATTCTATAAAGTTTTTAATATTTGAAATTTCAATATTCATAATACATCTCATTATTATGAAATTTCATTTTGATTTATTTTAGGTTTAGTCTTTAATAAATTGATTAATTTACTTAATTATTGTTCACCCTAAAATTGAATCTTTTTTTTCGGACTTTATGATGAACTTTTTTATGCTTGTTGATAAATACCAATTTTTTATTTATCATACTAATTTTAATTATCTTGAAATTGATTCTATGATTTATTTAAATCTTTAAATTATTATTTTGTATAATTTTACCCTTAATTTCTAATTTGAATATCTAGCTCTTATTTTTGTAATGATTCCTTTAATTCTTTATTTTTGTTTTTCAATTCATTATTTTATTCTGTTAGTTATTGAATTTACCTATTTTTTATTTCAATTTAAGATTATAATTATTAAATATAATTTTACATATTTTCTATCTAAGATTTTAATTAAAACATTTATTAATCACAATTTTATTAATTTATATTAAATTATTATTATTCAATTTATTTAAATTCTGATTTTCCTTTTACTTATTACTTTTATAATAAATTTGAAATATTCTATTATTAATTATTTTTAATAATTTTTAATTCATTTAAATATTATTCAATCTTATTATCTTATGTTTTCTATTTATCATATAAATTTTATTATTATTTAAGTAATTCTTAAATATTAGATTGTTATTATTCTATTGTTTAAGTTAAACTTTTATTTTAATCTAATAATTCTTAATATTTTTAATGTTATTATGTATTAAATAAATCTAATTATTATACTTATTATTATAAAATATTATTTTATTTTAATTAAATTTCAATTTTAATTTCTAATTATTTTTATTTTTAATCATAATTTTAAATTAAGTCTTATTATTCTTTAATTTTATTAAGATATTCTTAAATTTTAATGTCTTTTACTTATAATTCAACTTATTATTAATTTTAATTTTATTAATATTATTATAATTAATTAGTTTATTATTCAATAATTTATTAATATTCTTTACATTTAATAATCATTTATTAAATCTCTTATTCATATTTATTTATTTTAATTATTTATAAATTTATTTAATTTTATTCTTTTTCATTATTTTATTATTATTATTATTATTATTATTATTATTATTATTATTAATTCATAATCTAATTTGTAATTGATTAATTTAATTCATTTATATTTTATTATATAAATTTACATATTTCAGTTGTTTAATCTTATTAAGGTATTTAATTTTACATCAATAACTATATTTTATTAAATTATTCTTAAACAATAATTTTAAATTAATTTTCAATATTGTTATTTTATTTAATTTCTTGATTTATATTATTTAATTCTAATCCCATCTATTTTATTAAATCTTCTAATTATTTTATCTCATTATTAGATATTTATTATGGTATTTAAAAAAATTTATTATCTTTTTAACTTATAGTTTTTAATTTTTAAACAACAACATTTATTTCTATTCTTTATTAATCAAAAGGTTCTAACATTTATATTAACAAGGTCTTTAATTCATCATCATTTTTACCTGTTTTTGGTAATTAGTCTAATCTTTCTAATAGATATTTCTTATCAATTTTACAATTTTTAATCATATTTATTAATTCTTAATGAGTTTTCCCTATATTTACAAAAGTTATATACCTTAAAATAAAGATACTTAAGTCAAAATTTCATAAAATACACAACCTAGTGACCAAATGTCTACTGCTTTTGTGTAATTTTAACTATTTTCTACAATTTCAGGAGCTTAAAACAAAGGTGTACCAATTCCCATTGTCTTTATCCTACCTTAATTTTGTCTAATTAATCCAAAATCAATAAGTTTAAATTAATCTGCAACTTTAATAAAGTTTTCAGGTTTAATATCTCTATGAATTAAATTATTTTAATGTAAATATTATATTGATTAAGTTATCTATTAATATTTGTTATTATTATTATACTTAAATTAAAATCTTTAATTTCTAATCAAATGATAAATTCTATTATTATTATTTTATATAATCATATAAATCTATTTCTCCTGCTTCCATAATTATAATATCTTAGTTATTAATTTAAAATCTCTCATAAATTCTAATTAAACCAGATGATTAATAATTTGATTTTCCTTAATTAATTAAATTCTCATATTGATTTTAATATGCTATAAGATTATCAATAAATTAAATTTCATCAGCCTTAGATTAATATTGAATTTTCAATGCAAATTATTTTTAATCATTGAATCCCCAATTTTTTGATTTACATAAAAATACACTGCCTTATACTCCTTATCCAAGTGTTTTTATTATTTCAAATTTCCTATTTGGAAAATTTTATATTNTTTTAATTTTATTAATATTATTATAATTAATTAGTTTATTATTCAATAATTTATTAATATTCTTTACATTTAATAATCATTTATTAAATCTCTTATTCATATTTATTTATTTTAATTATTTATAAATTTATTTAATTTTATTCTTTTTCATTATTTTATTATTATTATTATTATTATTATTATTATTATTATTATTAATTCATAATCTAATTTGTAATTGATTAATTTAATTCATTTATATTTTATTATATAAATTTACATATTTCAGTTGTTTAATCTTATTAAGGTATTTAATTTTACATCAATAACTATATTTTATTAAATTATTCTTAAACAATAATTTTAAATTAATTTTCAATATTGTTATTTTATTTAATTTCTTGATTTATATTATTTAATTCTAATCCCATCTATTTTATTAAATCTTCTAATTATTTTATCTCATTATTAGATATTTATTATGGTATTTAAAAAAATTTATTATCTTTTTAACTTATAGTTTTTAATTTTTAAACAACAACATTTATTTCTATTCTTTATTAATCAAAAGGTTCTAACATTTATATTAACAAGGTCTTTAATTCATCATCATTTTTACCTGTTTTTGGTAATTAGTCTAATCTTTCTAATAGATATTTCTTATCAATTTTACAATTTTTAATCATATTTATTAATTCTTAATGAGTTTTCCCTATATTTACAAAAGTTATATACCTTAAAATAAAGATACTTAAGTCAAAATTTCATAAAATACACAACCTAGTGACCAAATGTCTACTGCTTTTGTGTAATTTTAACTATTTTCTACAATTTCAGGAGCTTAAAACAAAGGTGTACCAATTCCCATTGTCTTTATCCTACCTTAATTTTGTCTAATTAATCCAAAATCAATAAGTTTAAATTAATCTGCAACTTTAATAAAGTTTTCAGGTTTAATATCTCTATGAATTAAATTATTTTAATGTAAATATTATATTGATTAAGTTATCTATTAATATTTGTTATTATTATTATACTTAAATTAAAATCTTTAATTTCTAATCAAATGATAAATTCTATTATTATTATTTTATATAATCATATAAATCTATTTCTCCTGCTTCCATAATTATAATATCTTAGTTATTAATTTAAAATCTCTCATAAATTCTAATTAAACCAGATGATTAATAATTTGATTTTCCTTAATTAATTAAATTCTCATATTGATTTTAATATGCTATAAGATTATCAATAAATTAAATTTCATCAGCCTTAGATTAATATTGAATTTTCAATGCAAATTATTTTTAATCATTGAATCCCCAATTTTTTGATTTACATAAAAATACACTGCCTTATACTCCTTATCCAAGTGTTTTTATTATTTCAAATTTCCTATTTGGAAAATTTTATATTGGTGCATCAATATTTTGATTGTTTGCCTAATTCTATTGCATAAAAATAAATTTATTTATATTATTATTCATTATAATGTCGATAAAAAGCCACTCTTTCTAACTTAAACCTATTCAGATTATTTATAATCCACAGTTCTTCCTATATTATCTTTCCTTTCTACAACAATTTGCTAAATAAAATTTTTAGATTACTTTAACTTCTTTAACTTCTCCCTTCTTGATAGATTCTAATTCAGCTTCAGTCAACATAAGTTTTTCTTATGTTTCATGATACTCTCTATTAAGAATAATGAATTTTTATTTCCAGGTTTCTACTTCCTAATTTTTAAAATAAATATCAATAAATACTTTAGAAAGATATGTCATTTTTTCAACAGTTACTTCTTCATGTGTAGTCTANTTAATCTTTCTAATAGATATTTCTTATCAATTTTACAATTTTTAATCATATTTATTAATTCTTAATGAGTTTTCCCTATATTTACAAAAGTTATATACCTTAAAATAATGATACTTTAGTCAAAATTTCATAAAATACACAACCTAGTGACCAAATGTCTACTGCTTTTGTGTAATTTTAACTATTTTCAACAACTTCAGGTGCTTAAAACAAAGGTGTACCAATTCCCATTGTCTTTATCCTACCTTCATTATGTCTAATTAATCCAAAATCAATAAGTTTAAATTAATCTGCAACTTTAATAAAGTTTTCAGGTTTAATATCTCTATGAATTAAATTATTTTAATGTAAATATTATATTGATTAAGTTATCTATTAATATTTGTTATTATTATTATACTTAAATTAAAATCTTTAATTTCTAATCAAATGATAAATTCTATTATTATTATTTTATATAATCATATAAATCTATTTCTCCTGCTTCCATAATTATAATATCTTAATTATTAAATTAAAATCTCTCATAAATTCTAATTAAACCAGATGATTAATAATTTGATTTTCCTTAATTAATTAAATTCTCATATTGATTTTAATATGCTATAAGATTATCAATAAATTAAATTTCATCAGCTTTAGATTAATATTGAATTTTCAATGCAAATTATTTTTAATCATTGAATCCCCAATTTTTTGATTTACATAAAAATACACTGCCTTATACTCCTTATCCAAGTGTTTTTATTATTTCAAATTTCCTATTTGGAAAATTTTATATTGGTGCATCAATATTTTGATTGTTTGCCTAATTCTATTGCATAAAAATAAATTTATTTATATTATTATTCATTATAATGTCGATAAAAAGCCACTCTTTCTAACTTAAACCTATTCAGATTATTTATAATCCACAGTTCTTCCTATATTATCTTTCCTTTCTACAACAATTTGCTAAATAAAATTTTTAGATTACTTTAACTTCTTTAACTTCTCCCTTCTTGATAGATTCTAATTCAGCTTCAGTCAACATAAGTTTTTCTTATGTTTCATGATACTCTCTATTAAGAATAATGAATTTTTATTTCCAGGTTTCTACTTCCTAATTTTTAAAATAAATATCAATAAATACTTTAGAAAGATATGTCATTTTTTCAACAGTTACTTCTTCATGTGTAGTCTATAATTCATCTATATGATGATGAGCATCATCTAATTCTCCTCTAAGTTGATTAATTTCAGCTTATAATTAAGAAATGATGCCATCCTACTTTGTTATTTATCTCTATATATAAATGATTATTTTTATACTTCTCTTTCAACAAGTGTGGTTTATAATTAAACCAAGCTTGAGCTCCTGGACAAATCATTTTTTTATATTTGAGCTCTGAGGTCAGAAATAGTCCTATCCTTTTATGCACTGTTCTCATGTTCATGTTCTAATTGCATTTTGACCATACGTAATTCTTTTTCTAATTTAGTTATCTATATAATCATTGTAATATTTTAAACTTATTCAGTGTCTGTCACAACTTCCTTTACTATTTTTACTTCAGGTTATCTCATTTCCAGTTCCATAATTCTTGCTCTTAGTACTTCAACTTCTTTATTATTAACCTTCTTCTTCTTTTGCTTCTTCACTTAAGGACATGGTTAATAGATTTGTTATTGGGGCATAAGTAAAAAGGTGGGTGGATGGTAAGTGTACTGACTATAGCATTTCTAATAGATTTGATTTGATATAGGTAAATAGAATCGACCATCAACATCATAATTATAAGGAATTTATGGAGTTTCTAATTCGTAGTTCAATTAGTCTGTTTCTGGATTCATTAATAACTCAGAAATAAAATAAATTAAAATGAAATTAAACGATCAAAAAAGCAACAGTCAATTAACTATCTTTCCCTAAGCTTACAATACAAATATGACTGCAGCATATAAATACTTATCAAGAGAGTCAAGTGTAATTAAAAATGATAAATCAATTTTAAAATCTCCATCATCTAACTAATTATATTGTGCATCAAATAGAGGGAGTGACAAGAAAGTGAGAATTTAGGAATCTGCATCTAAAGGTTCAATACAATTGAAAAATACAACTTAATTTGGTCGAACATCTACTGAATTAATTTAAGTTCCTCCTATGAGAAGTCTTAACAGAGAGGATAGAGAAAAACTGATAGCTACTCTAATTTAATAGGTTAAATAGTAGAATTAATTAATTATATAATTGGAAGATAAAGCATAGTAATAGGCAGAACAATTAGATGAGTTAAATCTTTATAATGAGAAATATGAATAAAAAGAGAAATGTTATGGAGAGATAATTTAAAATTAAAATAAAATAAATTAAAGAAGTAAAATAATTAAAGATATTCATTAGTTTAATAGATAGCATAGCTAAGAGAATTGGATTATAAATAAACAAATGATCATTTAGAACTATTGAATTAAATATATGAAGATGAGGTTGATATGGATATGGCAATTAAATGGAGAAATGCTAGATTGAAATTTAATTTCTTGGATGCTTTATAGAAGGCTACAAAATATTCTAAAAAATTAAATCATATTCTTTTTAGAAAATAGAATCAATAATTGAAAGAATGTTTTCAGGGATGGAAATGTTATATTCAAAATAAAGCTTTATTGATTTAATTTAATGAAGTTAAAAAATTAAGGATTTTAATTAATTTCTGGATGAAATGGAAACAATAAGTGGAAGATAAAAAATAATATTAAAAGAATCTTAAAATATCAATTCAGTTTAATCATTAAAATTTATAAAAAAAATGTTTTGAAAAATTGAAATAGAATTATCTTAAATATAATTTTAATCTATAAGATTTTTAATAAATTACTTAATCTGCTATAAATGAATTTAATAGAATCAAAATGTTTAAAGTAAAAATCAAATATTATTATAGGTTTTTAGTTAATGGACTCTCTGGATTAAAAAGTAGAATTAGAAATAGTAAATTATTTATTAACATATAAATAATGGACGAATTAAAATAATGAAAGGACTAATAAAATTTTTGAAATAGAATTGTGATTTTCATAAGGATAGAGCTAATAAAATAGTAAAATAAAGAGTTTAGGGGAAGTTAAAGAAATTGTTTAATTAATTTAAATAAAATTGGAAATAAAATAAATATAGAGAGAATCAAATTAAATTAAATAGAAATTTCTTTATAAAATAAAGACAATTTAAATAATGGATAAGAGAATATTAAATTTTCTCTAGATTAAATCATATAAGTATTAAAGTTATGAAGAAGAGAGAAACTTAATTCTTATAAAGATGTACTTTAGTTAATTTTATTATAGTATTCAATTCTATGAAAAATAATGCATATTTTAGAAAAATGAAGAGATAAAATGAAATATTGTTAAATAAGAAATATGACAATAGAATTATGAATTGGGCATTTATGCATTGGTTAAGCAATCTCTTAAAGAAAAAGAATTTATTGGTAAAGGAGTAGAATGTAGTCATTTTGAAACAAAAGGACATAGATTATTAATAATAAAATGATGTATAGAACTTAAAATAAATGTACGATAGTGTCTAATAGTAATTGGGAAATTAGGAAGAGCAAATTAATAATTATAAAATTTTAATATCTAATCAAAAAGAAGTAGAACATGAATTATAAATGCAATAGTAATAGATAAATAAATAATTAGTGATTATTTGAAATAAGAATTAATGACAACAAAGGATCAATTGATACATTATTAGATTGAAGGAGATGAAATAAGAATTTTGAAAGAATAGTATACATTAGCATAATAATAATTGAAAGAGTTAAGGATGTAATAAAGATGTAATATTCAAATTTCATATAATTAAGTGGGATCTCCAATTAGAAATTTATAGAGTAGTGGAATTAATGTAGATTAAGATCAATTAAGAAAACAAGTGGAGATAAGTTCTACATTACTGAATGATTAGAAATAAGAGTACAATTAATTATAGATGGAATATTCAAAAGTAGTTGGAGATTATGAAAAGAAAATTAAAGACATAGAAAAATATTTTGTGGATTTATGTGACAAATAAAAATTATAGATAGAGAGATGTAATTAAACCAACATATGGTAGTGTTGAAGGAGAATTAAACTATTAAAATAGAAAATCAGTAGAATGTTGTTTCTAGAAATAAATTAATGGATGAATTAAATATGATACATGAGTCTTTTAGAGAAGAGATCCCATAATAATAAAATCGTACAAATTTTTAGACTCAAGATTCTTACGAATAATAATAATAATTTGTTCAAAATAGAAGATTAAAGTCACATTTATATAGTCAGACATCACCAATCTCTGAAAATTAATATTCTCAAAATTCTCCATAAAAATAAGTATAGATTGAAGATAGGTATGTATAATATATTATGATTATCAAGAAGGATAAAAGAAGAAGCATATCATTTAAGAGAAGACATAAAAAGACGATTGGCTTCTTTAAAGACACAGATGGATTGTTAAGTGTGAATTTTTTATAATATTTTTAATCTATGAATAAATACTAACTATTGAAAAATCATATTCAATAATTGATATAGAATACTTAAAAGACAAATATATTATTTGTGAGACATGGTTAAACAAATTAAAATCTAAGTAACACCATATGTGGTTGGACAGATAGTAGATTAACAATTAGAGGTATAAATAATATTCTAGTAAATATTGAGGAAGAGAATAAGCAAATCAATTATTATAAGCATTATTACCATTTCGTGATTAATTTAAAGGTGTATATTCATCAGATTTGAGAAGAGCAAAAGAAACAGCATAAATAAGTTTAGGATTTCCTCATGATAGTTTAATAATTGAAGATTCACGTTTAAGGTTTATATATAACATAACACAAGAGAACTTAATTTTGGGAAACATGAGAATATTGCATACTCGATGTTAGATTAAGAAACAAAAGATGTTATATTTACATTGTAATACCAAGCTCCAGAAGGTGAATCTTGGTAATAAGCTTAAGAAAGGGCAATGAAATTAATAATAGAGAAATGCAATTAGAATGGGACATATTTGATGTTTTCACATGGAGTAAAAATAAACATTATAATTATAAGGGATTGATTTGTAGTATAACATATTCATTGGGTTTATAGGATTCTATAGGTAATTGTAGTTGTGTAGGTTTGGAATATGATAAAGAGAAAAAAGAGATGAAATAAATATTATTTAAATGGGAGATGCCATAAGAAGAGAGTGAAATAGAAATATGATATGAAAATATTTATTTATAATAAATTTGCATATATAAATATGGATAAATTTGAGTCTTTAAAATTGTAGATAGAGAAAATCTTAGATTCAGATAAAACAGTATTAATTTTTATTAGACATGGAGAGACAGAAGCTAATTTTACAAAATAGTTGAGTGGTTGGCATGATGTCAAGTTGACAGAATAAGGTTTAAATTTAGTATTTATTTTAGGTTTAAATGAAGGGAAATAATTATCTAAAGCATTTTAACCATTAAGAGATAGATTTGCAGGAATCTTCTGTTCAGATTTAAGTAGAGCTAGACTTACTGCTGAATTAGCTTTAGGATCATCAGATAAAATATAATAAAGTATGGAGTTAAGAGAACTTAATTTTGGGGATCATTAAAATAAAGTATATTCTGCTGACAACAAAAGTATCTATGAGATTTTGTTTACATAATAATATCAAGCACCAAATGGAGAGAATTGGAATGATGTATAGAATCGAATAATGAAGTATTTAAGATCTCAAATTCATAAAAAAGGAGTCTATTTGATTTTTACTCATGGAGTATTAATTATTATTTAATATTTAAGGGAGCCATCTTTTCTATGACTCATTAATTTGGATATACAAACACAATAAAGAATTGTTCATGCATAGGTTTAGAATTAGATATCAATACTCTTGAAATAATGAATTAATTATTTTATTGGGAATTTCCCACTTAGTGAATTACTCAATTTATTTTATATTTACAGATTGTCATGATTAATATTTAACTAGTAATATATTATGATTAAAATCAACATAAAATAAAGTGATTCATTATTGTTCTCCCCCATATATTTTCTTAAATTTTTTGAGCTTGTTGCATTCCTATATATTTTGATCTTGGCTATAAAATATCTCCATCTATTTAATGTCCTAATGGTAAACTGAAAAAAACTAAATATAGAACTAAAATCCTTACATATCCAAAATAAGTCTAAGAATCTATATCTGTATAACAACCATAACCTTTAAAATGATTATTTCTGAATTCCCCTTTGAAATAACTAAAATCTGGCCAAGTCATCAAGCCTTGTCCATGCATCAAACCTTATTGTACTTATCCACAATATCTAAAAAATTATTACTCTTATTACTTTCTACCATCTGGAAATGTAAACTAACCTCTCCCATCAATAATTCCACATTTGAATTAACCTTCATATTTTATTCCATTTTTTCTTATTTCTATTCCATTACCTGAGAGTCTGTTATCACTCCAATAGCCTAAATAACAACAAAAACTACCTCTAACTTCTTTTTTTTTATTTTTAAAAACTCCAAATCCATTAGCTTTATTATCAATTAGATGACCTTCAAAACTAGAAATAAATTAGTAAAATTACACATCTCCATTTGAATAGATCATTCTAGCAGGTCCATTAGCCTTATCATTTTACCAAATACTAACATAACTTACTTATTATTACCTTTCTAAATAATTTCCATCAGTCAACCAATGTTATTTTCCTATTCCATTACGAATCCCATTTATCACTGAACCATAAAATATAGAACCATCAGAACATAAAAGATATTAGTAGTTAGAAGTATTAGTGTCCATCTATTCTATAGCCTTAAAAGTTCCCAATTCATTTATTTATTCTTAAACTTCTGGTCTCAATTAACCCAAACTTGTAATTTCTTATCCAATATTACAAAGAGATTAAGAGAGGTCTTCTAAACTATCCTACGTTTTAATATTCTTGTTATCTTCAAATTATATCAAATAAGCATACTTTTATATTGTTCTGCTATATTGATTGATATTTAAGAGCTTTAAATTGATGTCTTGTAAGTATTACTATTGCAAACACAACCCATTTTATAATATGATATATATATTTATCATTTTAAATAAAAAAGTAAGACTTATAATAGCCAAGCAAAATTAATTTGATTAATCATATTCAATTTATATAATCCTCATGAAACACTCCTCAATTTAATATTAAACCAACACTTTTCCATCTAATTAATAATTTATTAATATTTCATCCATTAAATAATACTTGCCTGAATTGCAGTACACTATCCATTAAAAGACTAGCCTTAAAATTTTTTCTCTATATACATCTCATATACAAATCCATCAAAAATCAACAATTTATGTTCTATGCTCGGACTAATTTAATTATTTAAAACAATATTTAAAAATGTATTTGATACTATTATTCATGATTTTAATTGTTATATACTTATAAAATATATAATTTGTACATGTTTTCTATTGTTAAATGCTGTTTTGATGTTAACATAAGATTGTAAAATAAATTTATTTTTTTAATATAAAACAAGTTTAGCTTAATTTATATCATTTTATTAATCCACACAATTACGTATTTCTAATTTCATTTATTAATTATTAATAAATCACATCCTTCAAAGATTTAATGATATGATTATTAATAATTATTTGCTTATTAATCATGAATTGGATGTACTTACTAGTCATCGACCTCCAACTGTTATCATTGAAGATTAATTTAAATGTCTTAATAACACTAATTTTTCAAGAACTTTTAGAAATACTCAATTACTTCGTAAATTAGACACAAAATAAAATTATATGAACATGATGTCATAGACTAAACTAAAACCCTTAACAAAATCATAAAGCCTTATTTGTTTATGTCTCAAGACACCTATCTATGAGGCAAAAGAGAAAAAAATAGAACTAGCTAATTTAAGAATGGGGAAGAGAATGAAAAGATAAGCAGCATGTTAAACAGATTGTTTTGATAATAATAATAATAATATATTTCTTAGAAAAACACTATCATGTATATATTAAATCATAAATATTTTATTAGTCTAATAATTCAGAAAAATAATTTTCTCTGAGACATAGTAAAAATCTAAAATTGATTTTTACAAAGTAGATGAATAAACTAAATAAAAATGATAATATTTTAAACCCTTATATAATTCAAAGATTATCAATAAGCTTTGTTAAGAAGTGAAGCATTTTTGATTCATCTCCTGGATTTATCCTATTTTATACTAGATCTGCTTATTTAATTTTACCATCATATAATATATAGATTTATGGTGCCTAAATTGGTGATGGCAATACTTAAGATTCATTTAAAATATTATATCTAATTTTAAATAGAAATGAATACTTTTTCAAAGTGAGTTTTTTAAAATTTGATATATTTTTAACTCTATAAGGATTAGGATTACAGATATTCTAAGCAATTTTATCTAAGGTTTCAGCAACTGTATTACAAGCTGCACATCCTGGTTTATAAAAATAAATAAAATCAAAGCCTGATAATTCTAAATTATTTGGAGTTATAATTTGTAATTTTTCCAAAGGAATCTTAACAAATGTTTTTTCATAATATTCTTATCTATAATTATCTTATGGTTATAAATTTTATATCTATAATTTAGTTGTTTAAATAATAAACTATTTCAATCTATTTACAGTTACTTTATCTCCAAAAGAATATCTTTTACATTATTTATATTGATCATAATTACTTTCTTATTATCCCAAATGAACAATATTAAATGATGTTGTATAAGTTTAATGTGAATTAAGATCAAATAATCTTACATCATCTGTAATTCCATTATTAACAATTCCAAAATATGATTATATTAGATCAATATTATCTGAATAAATAATTCCAAATTTTTATTATTATTCTGTATTCATAGATTTCTTTACATTAATTAGTTTTCTAATAATCTTATCATTAAGTTCTTTTTGACTATGATACATCAATATATATTGAACACCCATTTATTTATAAATTAATAATTATGAATCCATTTATTGTTTGTTAAATACATAATTAACATAATTATTGGCTGTCAATGTCAATCTTTGAACAATCTTTTATAAATTTAATTATTGAACTGTCTCTTCCTTAGATCCTAATATATATCCAGATAAGGAATCATATTTCTTCTTCATTCTAAATGTATCAGCTATTTCTATATTTGGATCTGGTTCTATTTTGTTCATGCAGTATTCTTTTGAATTGTGAAAGAAAGATGACTCTTTTGAATTGAATATATTGGTCTATTTAAGTATATAGATTTCTCCTATATCATTCACTGATAAATTAAATTCATCAGCCACTTTTTTATCTTTTATTATATAATACTAAGCCTCTCTATTGTAATCTAAGTATCTGAGTTCTCTAAATTGTTCCTCCAATTATTATGGATCTTTGTAATTACGTTATTTGAAAGTATCAAATTTATTAATTTATTCTTCTGATTTTACTATTGTTTATTATGGAATGTAACTCAAAACAACCTTAGCATCCATTTGATCAATTAGATTAATAGCATCTTATTTACTATTTAGAGTTTATAAGGGAGTTAAGAAATTAAGCAATTTCAAATAATCTTCTTCTCCTCTTATCTTTAATAGGAGACATCTATGTTAATTGACTGCAATCAAATCATAGTCATTAAAGTTACCATCATATATACAGAATTTGACTGATAAATGTTTTGGAAGATCTTCTATGATATTTCTATTTAGAATTATGATTGTATTTGTGAAATATTATGGATTAGTTAAAACTGCATTGACATCTTTTTCATTTATGATTTTCATGTTTTGCATATTTATTTATGAACATTTAAACCTCTATTATTATTAATTATAGACTAGAGCAAAGCAACTTACAATTTAAGTGATTTTAATCAATTTAGGTATTAATCTAATGGTTCTAAACATTATAAATATTTTTTAGTTTATATTGAAATACACTACAAATTATTATAATAAATAAAATAAAGTATATATAAATAAAGTTATTGAAAAAATACAAATAATTATTCATCATATTCAAAAACCCAATAAATTGTCAAATATAATATTTAATATCAAAACTAATAAAAAAATAATATAATGATCAAAGTTTTTATATTAATTAATCTTTATATTTAAGTTACTCCAATACTATAACCAATAATCACATATATTTTTACATCATGATTGCTTAGCACTCTTTATATTTAATTATAATGTACATATAAATAATTCATATGTTCATTAAACTGTTTATTGTCCTTCAACTGAAATCAATGCCATCAATTCAATTATCACATCATTTATTGGTGTATAAATTTAAGTTTATTTCTCTAATGAATTTACAGATGAAATTCTAAATATATGCAAAACATTGTGTCCCAACTTTTATTAAATCATAATTTATACTTTATTAACTAGATTCCAATTTATTTTATCTGAATGCGTTTGAATTAAATAAATTAATAATTATGATTGATGAAATTAGGCTGCTTTCATAATTGGTGATTCTCCTCCCTTTCTTTAAAAATCAATCATACAATTGTTTGAATATTAGTTTAGGCCTTTGATTAAATTAAATAATCAACTATTGCAATATTGCCAATTGCACATGCAAAATGAAGCGGAGTTCTTCCAAACTAATTTTTCCATTACAAATTACTAAGTCTTATTAATCAATATCTGCCTTTTAGATAGCCACTAAAAATTAAACCAAATTCAAATTTCCATTACTTGCTGCTTAATGTAATGCTGTAATTCCTTAATTTGTTAAGTTAACATTAACATTAATTTCAATTTTTGGGGAATTAAAAAATTACACTATTTATTCATTTTTATCTAATAATAATATATAAAATATACTTTACATGATTGCTAACCAAAGAGCATACTTAAGTTAATCAAGTTATTATTTTTAATTGTTCATAAGAAAAATAAATTTAAATTATTTTTAATAATACAATTTATTACTATATAGTTTTTATTTGAAAACTAATAATGTTTGACAAACAATCATATAAATTATTAGTTTTTTCAATATTTAAATAAATACATATTAAATATATATCATTAAAATTAAATAATTTAATTTTTTAATAATGGAAAACAAAGAGTTAGAGTAAGAAATCAAAAAGAAAATATCAAATATTCCACTTAAAGATAGAGCAAAAGTTACAGCTCTTAGATATTATTTAAATAAATGTAAATAAGCAGATACAGACATGGAAACAACTTGTGATAATATTCAATCAAAATATGATAAATTAAGTATGCCAATCTATTAAAGAGTAAGATTCATATTTATTTAATTAATTAGGCTGATGAAATAATTTTGGGTACAGCATAATTGAATGAATAAAATCTTGGTTTAGCAGCTAAATTATTATCAGAAGAAGAATTATAATAATTTAATCAAATTCCTAAAGAATCTAAAGCTATTCCTGATTATTGGTTAAAAGTGTTTAAAAATGCTGATTTATAAGAATTACCATTAACAGAAAGAGATTGTGAAGCATTCAAATTTTTATAGAAAATTGAATTTACATTAGCTGAAAATGATTCAGATTTCTTCCTTAAATTTCATTTTGCAGAAAATCCATTCTTTAAATAAACAATTTTAGAAAAGAAATTTTATTATGAAGATGATGAATTAACTAAAGTAGAAGGTACTAAAATTGAATGGCATGATGGAAAGAATTTAACAAAGAAATTAATTAAGAAGGTATATAATATTATATATAATTTTTATATAGAAATAAAGAAATAAGAAGACAGGATAATTTAGAGTAATTTCAAAGGAAGTTGATGATGAAAGTTTCTTTTTATTTTTTAGATCAATTGATATATCCAATAAAGAAAAATTTGATAAATTACCTGAAGATGAAGTATTAATATATATTTAATGTTTAGTAAATTTCATTATAAGGTTAATTAGATGTTGATTAAGATGTAGGTAGAGAAATTGTTGATGAATTATTACCATATTCACTTGAATACTTTTTAGGAATAAAGGAATTTAAGACTGAAGATGATGCAGGTGCTGAAGGAGAAGAAGATGATTCTGAAGATGATGAAGAAGTTGAAGTATAAACTAAAGGATAAAATAAAGGAAAAGATAAGAAAAAGAAATGATTTATGTATATTATTTTTATAAATTGTAAATTTAATGATGCATTCAATAATTATATTATTTACATTTTCGTGTTGATTTTTAATAATAAATTAAATAAATGAGCAGATCAGGAGATTTCTAAACTAAAGTTGAGATGATTATTGAAAATGTATTTAAAAATAATTCATTATCTACTTAGTATCTTTAGAAGCATAAAATATTTAATATGAAAAATTCGATTAATCATGTTGATGTACCAATTTCTGAATTTGATCTGCTTGAAAAATAAATGACAAGAAATAATATCATAGATGATTTAATTCAAAAAATATAGGTTTTAATTGAAGCTAGTAATTATAATGCTAAAATTGAAGTATTTTCATTAATAAATCTACATTTAGATTGAGTAAAAGTTCATTCGATTTGAATAAGAAATTTCAAATTTAAGATCCATAATTATGATGTAATAGGATTGCAATCCTCCTTAATTAACAATTACTCGTTCTGAAAATAATTCGTTTATTGAAATGAGTGATTCGTTTCTGAATGATGAAAATGCTATTTCTTTTAAGAAAAAAGTTAAAGAAATTCAAGAATAGTTTTCAAAGAAGACATAACAATTAGATAATATGCTTACTTTAGTTATTGATTAATAGTAACAGTGTTTTATAAATTTTAGATTACAATTAAAACAACAAATTACTCAAAATCCTTCCATAAATCAATCAAATGATTAATAAATAGATATTCATCAATAAACAGATAAAATATTGGATTTAATATAACCAAGTAATAATCTTATAGTATATATATAAGAAATCTAATATTTGAATAAGGAACATTTTGAGGAAAAATATTAATAATTTAAAAAAGCAATGGAAGAAATGAAGAAAAGTGCTAAAGAAAAACAATCTCTATTAATGACAATTGTAGATGAATGTAAAAGAGATTGTGAAAAAATTGAAAAAAAATTAAATGAACATATTAATTAAGTAAATGCAGAAAAGAAAAAATCTTGGATTCCTTTCAAATGAATTTATTTTATGTATAAAGTACCATATTTGCTAAATTCATTAAATATAGATTTATAATACTTTATAAAATTAAATTAAATAAATGTTCTTATACTCAATTATAATTACTAATTCTCAATTATTTTTCATCAATCTAAAACATTTAAATATTAGTTAACCCTAAGAATTATTAAAACCTATTTTAAATATATTAGAAATTATTTTAATATTATACTTATTTTTGATTTTAATTATGTATACAACTTTTAGATTATTAAATAAAAATTACTTTTCTTTTAGAATTTATTATTTTAAATACAAATATATATATTTATTAATTTCTTAATCTTTAATATTATATAAATGCCATTAAAAACTCAAATTTTTGATCTAATTATCAATGGTTAATGGATTTTATAGAATATATAAATTATAAATCAAATAGTTTATTAATATTGGTTCTTATCTAATTAGTTTTTTATTATATTAATATAATTTATGATTACAAACAATTCAATTAAAATAAATTGTTCTTAAATTCTATTATTCTGCTATTTTAATAATAAAATTTACAGATTTCTACTTAATAGAATTTGAAAGTAATCAATAAATAATTTTATGGATAATAATCAATAACAATAAATCTTTGAATTCTATACTTTTTGCAAAACATATTAACTTCAAACAAAGAGAACATTTTTATAAGAGGAATTAATTGGATCTGGAAATGAAGGTTAAGTGTTTCTAGCCAAACCATAAGACTGGTGTTTTAATGTGAATCAAGTAGCGATAAAAATACAGCAAGTGCATAATGAGAAAATTTTTGAATTTTATTAGAAGCTATCATAGCAACAACTTAAATTAAATCAAAATGAATCTAATGAAAAATCATACATTATCAAAATTTATGAAATATGTGTAACTCAATAAAAAAATTTAGTAATAATTATGGAAAAAGGTGGATAAGATTTATATAAATATTTCAAAGAAAATAAAGAAATAGATTTTAAAAGAAAAGAATAGATTTGCTTATAAGTATAATTTTTACTATTTATAAAATAGTTAGCATTAGCTATTAAATAATTGCATCAACTAGACTATGTACATAGAGATATAAAACCTGAAAATTTTGTTATTGTAAATAATGAATTTAAATTAATTGATTTTGGACTAACTAAATCAATAGATGAAAAATAAATGACTATGAATGTTGGATCTAGAATATTCTAAGCTCCTGAAATATTATATGGAGATGGTAATTATACATTTTCAGTTGATATTTGGTCATTAGGATGTACATTTTTTGAGATTTTTGCAAATTAAGAATTAATATAAGGTAAAATTTTAATAAATTATTAAGCTAAAACATATTTAGATGCATTAAATATAATAGTTAATCATATTAAGAGTTAGAAATATATTTATAATAGAATAGAAACATTAAATATTTCATAAGCATGGAAAGATTTAATTAAAAAAATGTTTAATCATCTACCAAATGAGAGAATTACTTCTAATGAAGTTGTATTAACAATTCAATCCTTTTTAAATGTAATAAATAATAAGTCTACTAACAACTTCTTATTACAAAATAATTAGCGTTTTTAGAGTCCTCTATTTAATCCTCCATTTCTTAATTCCCAATAGAATATTCCTTAAATAAATAATAATTTTCCTCAGTAATAGAATGGTGTTATTCAGAATAATAATGCATTTCTTAATATAAATGGCAAAAATAATCATTTCTAGGGTTCTAATCAATAAATGTAAAACAAATGTAATGAAAATTAATAATTCCATCCTCCAAAATTTTTAACTCCTAATTTACAAAATTTTCCAAATGTATAATCAACTAAAGCTTAAGTTTAATAAAATAGTCAGACCAACATCTGTTTAATGACATAATAAGAATAAATACCAAAATAAAATGGCATCTTAAATCAACATTAATATGTGTTATCTACATAATAATTCCCAAATTAAAACAATGATTAACAAATGTTTTTCAATAATGATACAAAATTTCAAGTACAAGAATAAATAACTTAATAATTCAATTAGAGAATTCAGAAACTTGAGACAGATTTATAAGCTGCAAGAAATGAAATTAAAAATTTACAAGATGAAAATAATAAATTAAAAAATGAAAAATAATTATTATCAGATGAGAATGGAGAAATTAAAAATTAAATAAGAACATATATATAACAATAATAAAGTTCTATTGAAGTTCTTCACAAATATATAAATTAGAGTCAATAGTAATAAAATTGAACTTATTTATTTAATTATAATAATAATTTAATTATAAACCTAATTTCTATAAGCATTTAAATATGTTAAATGATATTTATTAATATTGTGATAAATCAATTTAAATAGTTAAATAACATTTCTAATTACATAAATGTATTAATAACAAAATAGAATACTTTAATTTTATTAAAAATTAATTCATTCAAATTTATTAATGAATAATACTTATATTTATTTAAATTTTTTAAGGTTATGGTTGTAATAGATAAGAATATTTATAAAAGTTCCTTAAATAATATTTTAATGATAATTAAAATAGTATAAATGATAAATTTCTATTACATAATTGATATAGTTCTTGAGGAAATGAGATAATTGAGAGTTATGGAAAATATATATAATATTAAGTTGAATATTTTTACTTTTTAAAAATTGATCAGAAGATTACTTAAAGTAATTCAATTGAAATTAGATATAATTGTTTATATAAAATAGTAAATATAAAAATTAATTATGAAAACAATCAAATGTAATACAATTATTCATGTTTAATGTTAAATAAAATAAGATGCTAGCAATCCTTGACCAATTTTCATTTCATTGAAATTTCTTTCTATGTTGATTCCTTATAATTGTTCAATTATATTTTTAGACTCAAATAAAGACATAGTATCTTCAAGAGACCAAACTTTAGTAAATTCTACATTATTATTAAATTATTCTTCTAATTCTTAAGGTATATTTCTAACTATATTTCTCATTTGAATTTGATTATTCCTTTTTTCAATTTTAATCATATTTTCAATTTCTAAATTATAAATGTCTTTAAGATATATAGCCCATTCATTATGTTCTAATTTTGATTTAATATCTTTGATTTAATTTATATATAAATTAGATTTGTAAGATGACATAATCTATTAACTATATACACTTGTTAATTAAGTTATCTAACTAATTCTAGTACTTGAAGTGAATGTTGATAATATTCTCATTTTATTGTAATCTACTTCAAGGATACTTTATTACTTTCCAGATTAATAATATGAATTTTATTATTAATGAGTGATATTTTAAGATGTTTCTTATTCATTTTGAATAATCTTTTCTTATTTTAATATATCATAAATATGATTTTCTAAATATTAATCATCCCTTTCTATATGAGATTAAATATCATCTGGTTCATTCAATTATAATTATTATACATTTCTTCCAATGATTTTAGATTCTAAAATATTATCCTCAAAATTATGATTAGTAGAATCTACTATATCTTAATTTAATTGACAAGAGAGTACATATTGTCTAAGATTGATTTTAACTTTTTCATAAAGATATTCAATTCCTCTAGGTAATAAACATACTTATACTGTCCATTGATTAAGAATTTCTTACATATATTTAGAATCGGCTTATTAATATAATATAGAAATACCTATGATATAATTTTTGAATACTAAATAATCATTAGATAATTATTCAGATGCTTTGGTATATAAATAATTAGCTTATGAAATAACAATATCCAATATTTTTCCATAAAGGGATCCAACTTTAACATTTGAATGACCAATCCAATTAATACTTTATTCATGTAATGATAAATCAAGTATATTGGATGTAAATTTATTTAATAAACAATTTACAGCACTTGGACAATATTTAAAATAATCATCATCATTAAATTTTTATGAAATAAGTTATTATTCATTTGTACAATGATCTTTCATAAAGAATTATAATAAGATGATTCTTTTTTATTTCAATAGAATTTCATATGAAGTAAATAATTCATTTTCAATAGGATCAATTTATGTATTTCTAGTACCTTTAATAACAATTTATGACCATAATCTAGCAAGAGCACTAGTAAAAGTAATTTTAGGAAAATAAGTAGTAAAATATTCTTCAAATATCAAATCAATTTTATTAAATATATTCTTTAAAGCTCTATTTAATCCCCACATCATACCAATATAAGATTCCCATAAAATAGTATACATATTTATAAACATAGCTGGATTTTTTTCAGTTTTAGTTATCATTAAAACATTTCTACTAAATAAACATCTTTAATAAATGAAATAGAATATTTGAAGTAGGAATCTTAATAAAAGGGGTATATTTTCAGAATCTAATATGGTTGGATCCTTAAGAAAGTTATCAATCACAACCCATCTCAATTCAAATAATAGTTAAGTATGTTTTAAATTTGTAATATCAAATTTATCTAAACAATCCTTATAAATTTTTTCAGTTAATTCATCAAGAGATGGGACTTTCTCAACAGTTGTATAATCATTAGTTTTTTAAGCCAATTACAATTGAAACCAACTAGTTGTACATTACTTAAGAATATCATCTGTCAATAAAGGTATTGGCATATATGGATTATGACTTATTTCTAAGATTTTATCAACTAATGGATATTCTATATTAAAAGTCTTTTATATCTCTTCTTCTATAATTCTCATTTATTATCTAAATGATATTTATCTATTGTTACATGCTTTTTTAGAAGTTTAAATATATCCTAATCCATGATTCATCTTAGTTTGTTTCTATACTCAACAATTAAGAGTGATATACAGAAAGAAATCTTTAATGTAATCCATATTCTACAAAACATCGAAGTTATAGTTTCTGTAAATAGAATTAAGTAAGAAAGTTTGAATAAATGTTACTGCTCATTTCTACCATGAATTTTAGTTTTTTATTCACTAGTTTAAGTTAAAAACATTCTCGTATTGTTAAGAAATTTAAGAAATATTGTAAGATTTTAATGGGATAATTAGGCATCTCTTCTTCACTCATCTTTCTAATATATATGCATTTAATAATACGTCAGGATATCTTGACTTTATAATTTCATGTTTTCAGATAGACTTTTTCTTAATTTTGAACTTTCATTTGATTCTTTTGATGCCAATTAACTCATACACATCCCAATCAGATAATCTCTTTTTCTAAGTTTCTTCTTTTCCTATTATCCCTATTGTTGACTCTAATTTGCTCCCATTTAATTTAATTGATTGTATTATATAACTATCTATTTAAATACTGTTAACAATAAAATCCATATAGAAAACCTTGAACAAAAACAATTATTATCTTCCCAATTATCAATCCTTATTTACTATAGAGTATATTTAATTTTTATAATCATTAAATGGATCAAGTCGATATAATAAATGATGAAGAGTAATCACCACTTCACATTAAAAGAGAATTAGATATTGATATACCATATAGAGTAGCATTTCCAATATGTTACAATTAATAATAGAAGGATACTCCAAAAACAGCTATGAGAACTATTGAACATCTTGAAATTGATGAAGTATAAATACAAACAGAAACTACTCCAAAAACTTAAATCGATATATCATCTCCTAGAGTCCTCTTCTTAACTCATTCATAAATTATAGGAATAAATCAAGAAGAAGATGAAGTACCTTTTAACAGATCTACATTAAACTATCCTCTTTCTGAAATACCTGAAGAACTTACACCTAGTAATTTACCTAATGTAATTCATTTGTTTATATATAAGTAATCTAAAGTATCAAATCAAGATGTTATTATTGATAATATGAGTATAGTAAATAGTTAGTAGTTGAAATTTAGTAAGAAATCTTCTGAAACTAATGTGATATCAAATAATAATATGGATGGTAGCAAATTGAAAGAAGAAGTAAATTGATCATTATATAATTATAGTTAAAAGAATAAATAAGTATTTTGGAAAGTAAAATATAAGAATTAGAAAAAGAAAACTTTATTCTTAAGAAAAGATCTAATTAAGAAAAAGTAAGATTAATAGAATTGTAAATGGAAACAGAATATAAAATAGCTTAATTGAATGAATAATTACAAGATTAAGAGATTAATTATAAAAAATAGATTAACATCCTTAAAAATGATCTCAATAATGCCAAATTATCTATTAATATATTCAAATAATAAATTCCATATCATGAAAATCAAGGATTATAATTATCATAATCATAAATTCAATTTCCATAATAATAAATTTAATATCCATATAATTCATCTTAATAATAAAATTATTAATATTATAATAAATAATAATTAACCTTATCTTAATCATATAATGAATAATTAAACAAAAATACAAAAGATCTATGTCTTACTTAAATATAGTATGAAATTATTTATTCTAAATTAATTAAAATTATTAAGAAGATTGATTAATAGATTGAAATAAATAAAATTGATTTATTTGATCTTTTATAAATATTAGAAGAAAAAGTTAAATAGATAGTGAATATTGATGAAGAAGAAAAAATAGATGAACATCGAACATTGTTATCTACATTAAAAACTGAATTGGGATAAATTAAATAAATTAGAGGTTAATTATCTAGAATATTTAATGATAATAATTAATTTATTCATAAGAGAAATAATGATAATTAAATTGATTAAAGAATTAATGAATTGAATCTCTAAATCTTAGGAATTAAATAAGAAAAATTAGAATTATTTGAATTAAACTAAAAATAATAAAATTAAATTAATTAACAGAATTAAATTATTATTGAATTGTAATCAAAATTAAGTAAGATTTCTATTATCAAAATTAGATAATTCATCATAAACAGATACCTAAAGAATCTAATCTTAATTTATTCGTTAACTCTAAACAAATTCTATGTCTGATATTAAAAATATTAAAGAATAAGTTAAATAAAGATAAGATAGTATCAAGTAATAATAATAAATATAAAAAATTATTAGAAAAAATTTTAAATCCCAAAACTCTCCTTAAAGTAGATCTGAGAATGCTTCACCATAATTAAAATTCCTAAATTCTCCTAAGTATATTTATATATATATTATTAGAAATTCGAAACATTCTTCCACTTATTAAAAATAATAATCAATTGATAAAAAATATTAATTCTATAATCGAACATCTGACTTTAGTGTTGATAATAATAATAATAATTCAATTCATTAACCAACTAATATTAATAATAGTATGCATTTAAGTGGTGAAATTATTTAAAAATTAGTTGATCAATTCAAAGGTAATTCGATATTAGCATAGAAAATCTAAGGATATTCAAAAAAGAATTGAAATATATCTATATTAATTTTGTTTACTTATAAATATGTTACCTTTAAAAACCAATAGAATTAATTATAATAATTCATTATTTTATTGTATAAATATAGATGAAAAGAATAATTAAGATAAATCCAATTGATATTCCTGTTTAGAATGCTCCAATATCATTAGAAATGATGGATAATGATCTATTTTATATCAAAGCTAAAAAATAATTAGCTGGTAATATCATTATTATATCAATTAGAATAATTAAAGGATTATGATTAAAATGAATTTGTATTTTATTCAAAAAGTAGAAATAAATTAGTTAATGAAAATGATAGAGTATCAAAGTAATAAATTTATATTTTACTCATTAGATTATTTTTAAATAAGGATTAAAATGAAATTGAATTTTATCTAACATCTTATTTAATTAAATAGGTAGTTTTTGGAGGATAAGCAAATGTAGGAATACTTTAATAAGGTAATAATAATGATAATAATAATAATAATTCAAGAGATTTAGAAAATAAAATACAGGAATTAAAATTAGAAAATAATAAATTATAAAATTAATTAAAATTAAAACAAGAAAAAAGTGATTAATAAGGTGATAAATTGATTTAATTAGAAAATCATGAACAATAATTTAAGAAACAATTAAAAGAATAGGAAGAGTTTATAGTTCAAATGAAAAAAAAATATGAAGATATTTTATAAGTTAATTTGTAATTGAAGAATGATCTTAAAAATAAAGAAGATTAAATTGAAGAATTTAAATTCTAATAAAAGACTTTTGAGGCAGAAAAGAAGTATCTTTAAGAATAAAATAAAAGAGAAAACTATTACAGTAAATAATCAACAGTTGAATATGATAATTAAATGGAGGAAATTATACTTGAATTAGAGAAATTCAAAAAAATGTATGAAAAAGAAAAATTTGAAAGATTAAAAATCGCTGAAATTTTATCTAATATTAAGGATGTATAAATACAATAAAAAAATAATGTATTCTAAAAGCTTGAAGAAATGAATCAAACAAGAAATTAAACAGAATATGATATTATTAATTTAAGGGAAGAATTAAAAAGATCTGTAGAAACATGTCGTTAATTTAAAGAGTAAACGATTCAATAAAGAAAGGAAATTTTTCATTTGGAGGATAAATTTAAGCGTGTTTAAGAATAAAATACTAAATTGGAAGAAGAATTAAAGAATAAGAATGAGGAAATTTAAAAATTAAAAAAGATTATAGAGGAGAAATAATAAGATATATATAAGTAAAATCTGCTTATGGAAAAAAATAATCACTCTAATAATTTATAAGAAGCTGAAATGCAGAAATTAAAAGATGAGATATCAAGTTTAAAATAATAATTAGAAAATGAAAATAAAAATAATAATAAATTATAACTTGGGAATGACTCAAAATCAATTGAAATTGAGAATTTGTAAAAATAAATAAAAGCTGAAATTAAAAAATTGGAAAAATAGAAATAGTAATTTCAAAATCATGTTGAAAATTTGGAAAAATAACTTGATACTGAAATTAAAAAAAAAAAATAAATAGAATAAAAAAAAACTTAATTAATTAAGAGAATCAAAGAAAATGTATAAAGAAAAGTAAAAATTGGAAAAATTATTTCATGTACTGAAAATCTTTTTAAAAATTGTTCATAACCTTTTGAATTTTTAAAGTTGGAGGGTATTATGATAAGAGATTTAATTGCTGAAGTTGAAATAATTAGAGTAGATAACAATAAAGCATTATAGAGTTTAACTAATAATGATGATCCTAATATGGCAGAATTTGTTGTAATGGAATCTGTTGGAAATTGGGAAATCAAAAAAAGTATAGCAATTGTAAAATTTATTTTATTTATTCTAGAATGGTGATGGTACAAAAAGAAAAGGATTTCTGATGTAAGTTATGAAATGCGACAAAAATCTTTATGATAATTAAGTTTTCATAATTAAGTAATTAGAAGGTTATGAGAAAATAGAGAATAAATTTGATGCTCTTTATGTTGCTTAAAATTCTTTAATAGCAAAGATTTTAGCTGAGCATTTTTAAGAGAAGATTTAAAAGGCTTCTATAAAACCACCCTGTAAATTTGCATACAATGATCCATATTTATTAAAGATAGATGGAAGTATGAAAAAAATTTATAACATTTAGACTATTATATTGCTGAAAGATTGATAAAAGGGAATTTTTTTTAATTTGACCAAGAAACAGATATTGGAAATTATTTTTAAGCATTTCAAATTTTTACTTACTTAGTGACTTAAAAAATGCTAATGGTCTCAAATATCTAAGGAAACTTTAATGGTTCAGAATATATTTTGTGTGATCCAATTATTTCTACACCTGAAGGTATTTTAGGGGATGAGGATTTAGGAGAGCAATATATCGATTCTTAGTAGGAAACTAATGAATGTGTGAAAAATTACCTTTAAAGTTTAGGGGTTTTACATTTAAGTTGATAATGAGGAATAAATTACAATTTTTAATAAATTTAATATTTTTTATAATTAAAGCAACTCTAAAATGAAAATTATCATATTAATTTAATAAAAATAATAAATTAAAATAAAAAAAGTATATATATAATAGAATAGAAATGAAATGAAATACCATTAAATGATATATATTCTATAATTAAACGTTAGTTAAATTATTTGTAGACTAGAAAACTTAAATAAATTTACAAAATTGTATTAGAAATTTAATTTTTTGAATAAATAGGTGTAATATTGTAATTTATCAATCAAGTCTAAAAGATTGAATATTTTTGTGTATTTGAAATGTAGTGATATTAAAATTATTTTAAAAGATAAAAATTGTAAAAATTTGAGAATATTTATAAGTAAATAATTATACAAATTTTTTTTTATTGATTTCTTTTATCTTACTTTATATTATTATTAAATTAATTATCAAATATCAATCAAAATTATGATAAGTAAGAAATAAAATATAATATATTTTTGTTTTCTATAAATATTAGATTGTATCTATTTTTCTTGAATTATTTTTATTCTACACACAATTTCTAATTAATATTCTTATCTTTAATTCAATTAAATTTAATATATATTACTACGATAATTTTTGATATTTTTTGACTATGGCTAGGAAATAGTATTTTATCTAATTGATTATTATTATTAATCTATATTTTTTGAGATCAAAACAAAATTGTTTATTTTTCTAGATAGATGATTAATAATGATAACTTTATTTAATTAATTTCAAAAACAATAGATATTTTGAATTGAATAGACTATGATATAGTTATAAATAAATTAGGAACAAGTACTATGTTTTTTAATAGACATATTTATGGAACATAGAATTATTAAAAAAAGTAAGAGAATAAAGATGTTTATTGTTATATAGTGGTTGATTTACCTAGTTCAAAGGTTTTGATTATGTTCTCTAATTAATTAATATTTTGAATCCCATCATTTTTGGGTACGACTTAACAACAATAATATACATCAGAATGATTAGTAAAGGAAATAATTAAGAAGTTGAACAACATGTTGATCTAAAACATCATAATAAAAAGTATTGGAGCTCTGAAGAAGATACAAAATTGTACTCTGCTGTAATTTTACATGGATCAAATTGGAAGATCATTGCAGAATATCTATCTGGAAGAAATGCTTCATAATGTGCATAAAGATGGAAGAGAATTAAGCCTAAAGAAGTAAATATATAATTAAAAATAAAAGAATGAAAGAAATTAGAAGTGGAGTAAAGAAGAAGATGATGAAGTATTAAGACTTACTAAAAATTACTAATATAATTGGAGAGCAATAGCTCAATATATCCCAAATAGAACTGGTCGATAAATTAGAGAGAGATTTGTCAATCATTTAGATCCTAATATTAGTAAATCACCTTGGACTGAAGAAGAAGATAAATGGATCTGGAATATGTATTAAAATGTTGGTACTAAATGGTCAGATATGTCAAAATAGTTATAAGGAAGACCTGTATATATATTTTATATACTAAATTTTAGGAAAATATGATAAAAAATAGATTTTATTCTTATATTCGAAAATAATATGGGAAAATATAAAATCCGTATTATGTAGTACCTAATAATGTGAGACTTTTAGAGAAGGACTCAATGAGAAAGAGCAAGATAATTAAAAAAATTAAAAAATTAAGGAGGTATTGTTAAATAAAGAAATCACAAGAAGTTAACAAAAATAAAGACTAAAATCCAGTTTAAATTGAATTAAAGGTTGAATAAGATTAATATCTAATGAATAAAGAATTTATTAGATATGAATAATAACTATAATAATAAACCTAATAATAATACTATCCATTAATACCAACAGAATTTTAGAAATTTCAATTCCCTTAAATTATTTATCCTTGTTAATTTGTTACTACATCTAATTTTGGATCTGAATATTATGCATTAATAAACTCATAAGATATTTTGAATTGTTAAAAAGAATAAATAAATTAATCTACATTTTCTGATATTACTAAATCATAAAATAATGAAATAGTATGTTTACCAACTTTGAATCTTTAAATGATCGGATTTTAATAAATTTAATAAAATTAAATAGTTACTAAAGAAGAAGAAGAAGAAGAGAATAATTAAAATCCAAAAATTTTAAATAAAATAAATGATTAATCATTCCCTCTTTAAATTAGAGCAGATATTATAGAAGAGTTACAGAAAAAGAATTTAGAATTCTAATTTAAATAATGAATAAATATATATATATATCGATTTTGTTATTTTGGTAAAGATCATATTCCGACTTTTTATTTAACGTATTATTCAAAACTTGGTTATGTTAATAAGCCGAGTGCTTACTTACTGATTTCAATTTCTTTATTATATTCAGCAACAGTTCTGTTATAGAGATCAGTTTCTGCAGCATAATTATCATTTTCAGCTTACAATTAAGCTTAAAGAGTAGCTCTATCATCTTTTCTTTATCCAACATATACAATAGTTTCTCCTAATTTTTCTATTATATAATATAAAAATATTTACATTCATTCGCAGCAATTTCAGAATTTTTAATAAGAACTGCTCTTTAGAATTCAGCAAATTCTTTTTCTAATTAAGCAACTCTTTCAGTGAATTTAGATTCAGCAGCGCTTTCATCAGCAGTTTCTTGATTTAATGTATCAACAAATTGAACTCTTAATTCATTGAAAATCTTAACCAATTATTAGATAGATCCTTAATCAGCAAAGTTTTATTCTGTTGCCAATTCTAGTAAAGCTTTAATAATAGGAGCAAATGAAGAATGATTTTAGAAAGATGTTTAGATTCTTCCCAAATTAGATTATACTCTTTTGAATTAAACAAGAGATGGATTAGTAATCTAAGATAATAGTCCTAATGATTCATCAACTGCACCAATAGCTTCATTAATTTCAGCAATATTAGATAAGAATTATTCATGTTATTTCTTTCTATTAACAGTTTCTTAATCAAGTATTCTTCTATTTTCTTCAATATTAATTTTTAATTAAGTTAAAGCATCTTAAAATCTTTATTTTTATGGAATAAGAACATTATCAATAAAATCTTCACCATTAAATATATCTAATAATATTTAATAACAAACAACCTCTATCAGCATCTTGTATTTCTTATTCATATCTTGTTACATCTCTATTATGTTCATCTGTTCTTCTGGAATAAACATGATGAATGTCATCTAATTCTTCTTCTAATTAATCAATTAATTAATTTATAGCTTCAACTAATTCTGTAAAAGCACCACCACTTCCTAATTCTACTTCTGCAAATTCTAAAATAAAAGAAGCCCATTTAGATTCTCTCAATTTACTTAACACTTCTTCTTAGTGTTTTTCCATATTGAGTTCTACACTCAATACACTCAATACTAAACAAACCAATATTCCTGTTCTCATTTATTATAAATAATAAAAACGACTATTAAGATTTATTAATTAAATATGTTTAATCATAATTATTCTAATATATTTAATTACTCTAGATTTACCGTTATCTATTTTGGAATCTTATATTCTATTATTCAAGGATTATTAAACCAAACTTAAAATCTATAGATTAGTAAACAATTATTTCTCATAAATTATTTTTAAAATTAACTAATCTTATAACATCTTTATAATAACAATAACCCTTATAATAATTATAATTTGTGAAATACAAGTCTAAGTTAAAGAAAATATAATAGATTGAATATAAAAATATTTTATCAATAGACTTCAATAAGAATCCAATAAGAATTCTTATTAGAGATTTGTAAGTATATATATAATATTAATGAATTTCCTCAATAATTTCTAAAATTAATAGAAGAAACTATATTTAAGAAATGAAATATGTAAATTTATCGTATAAATATAATTAATCTTAAAATAATTTATATAATTTTCATAATTAAATAAAAATTTGACATCTCTAAATGAGCAATGCATTTAAATAGGCTGGAAACACTCTCTCAAAAGGTAATGATTTGGGATAGACTGGACAGAGCTTTGCAGGATCTTAAAATCCAGCATCTTTGAAAGGGAAACTAATGAGTTTAGAAGTAATGAAACTGATACCATATTTTATAATAGGAAACAATCAAAGGTATTCAAGATGAGATGAATTTCCATAAGAAAGAAGTTTAAATATTAAAATCTGAGAAAGACACTCTTGAATCTGTTTTAAGTATGAAAACATAAGATGTTAAAAAAACATTAACTAATGAATTAATGAGAATAGAAGAAGAAATGAAACGGTATTCTAATTTAATAAAATAGACATTTCGCCCATTAAAAAGCAGAGAATTCTAGATTATAATAATAAATTACTGCTCTTAAAGGAGAAAAAACTGCCCTCCAATAATAATTACTTGGACTTTAAAGAAGAATTGCTGAATTAGAACTCCAAGTTGGATAAGAGTAGGCATGATTATTTGTCATTATCAATATATATACATTTTTATTATCTATAATTATATTAATACTGATATCATAAGATCAATATCTAAAATTCTTATCAATTTAGATACAAGCATCTTCTAATAGTTTTAATAATGCTTCAGTAGTGCTTTCTCTTTCTCGTCTCTCAAAATTGATGTCTTATTATAATTTACCATGCACATCTTCTATCATTCTAAAAATCTTTCCTTAAGTTTCCTCTCTAACTTTCTTTTCAATTAACAATTGATCTGAGAACTTATTAATTTCTTAATCAATTTGTTCACTTAAACTTTCTGACGATTCTTCTCTAAAGATATCAAACAGAAATCAAGTACCTTGATCTTCTTTCTTAATCCAATTAATTTTTAACCAATTAAACTTATTAAAGTACTTCTGCAATCTTAGCTTAACTTCTATCTTCATATTAATGATTATTTCTAGTTATTGTCAAAGTGATCTAAGTGAATCTCTCATCAATTTATTTTTGCAATTTAGTTTCTCCTTATCCTCTAATATTTCTTTCTTAATCAAAAGATAAAGCTATATTATCAGATAAAGTTCTAAAATCTCTTTCCTTCTTATCATCAAAACCCTAAAGTTTATAAATATAAATAATACTTCTCTTTCTGCCTTTTGATTATGGGCATAATCTTATAATTTAAGAACTTGATCCTTTAAAACTTTGAATTTTTATTCATCTTTAGGTTTTTCTGAAGATAAAACATCCTCTATAATTTTTATTCTTTCCTCCAAGACTTCTCTTTTCTCCAATTTATCCTTATCTATTCCATTTTATATATGATTCCATTTATCAGAAAGAAGCTTAATCCTTTATCTAGATGGTGAATCAAGATCTTAATTCAAATAATTAACTGTTGATCTTTATGGACTAGATAATAATTATGATCTTTAAAGTTTTGATGTTGATAACTTTGAAGTTGACAATAACATTCAATAATATTTTGCAAATAAATTTATTTATGTATATATTAGAATATCTATAAAATTCTCTTATTGATTATTATCTTATACATTAGTAATTTGATTGGATAATAAATGAAATCATAACAAAATAATATATTATTAAATCAACTCTTCATATTTCTTGATAAACTTTTTAATCTTAATTTTATTTTAATATTTTCTTTGAAAATGTAATAGATTTAATAAAATTGGGTTGGGAAATTAATCAATGCAGCAACATCCGAGAATCCAAATAGAAATTATAGAATAGAAAATGTCTTAGGCTAAGGGTCTTAAGGATCAGTCTATTTAGGCAAACATATTATTAATAACTTTTAATAAATTGATGTAGCAATTAAAATATAATCATATATGAGTGAATAAGAAATTCAATTCTTAAAAAGTTTAATTCAATATCAAAATTAATATGAAAATAATAAACAAAATTTACAAAATTATAACCCTTCATATATAATTAGAATATTTGACTTCTTTCAACATAATAATGATTGGATCCTAGTTATGGAATTAGGCACTTAAGACCTGTATAAATTTATTTAATCCAAACATTAACTTCCAATTTAATAATTAGGATAACTATTAAAATAAGTAATCTTTTATATTTAATTAGATTACAAAATCTATCTCTTTTTTACATGATAAGTAACTTTTACACAGAGACATTAAGCCAGAAAATTATATTTAAATAGGAGATGAATATAAATTAACTGATTTTGGATTAATCACTACTTAATTTAGATAGAAAACTACTAATGTTGGAACTGTATTATATTAAGCTCCTGAACTTATTTCTAATCTTAATAATTATACATAAGCTATTGATATATGGTCTTTAGGTTGTATATTCTATGAAGTACTTTCTGGATAAACTTTGATTTAAGGAACAACTTAAGATTAAATATAGAAAATGATTTTAGCTCATAAACAGGATTGCACTTTAATTAATTAAAGAATAAATTCATTAAATTGTAATAAAGATATAAAAGATATGATAATTCGTATGATGGATCCAAATCCTTTAAATCGATTAAAAACTTAACAAATTATAGAAATATTAGATTCTAAATTCTCCTTCTAAAAATTTCCAATAATAAATTAATTTCCACAATAATTAAATATTCCATTTGCTTAAAATAATTAATTCCCACTTCAATATTAACAAATACCACAATAATAATAAGGAATCATTATGCAATTTAATCAATAAAATTAATCATAATAATAATAATTATTAGTGGATATGTAAAAGTAATTGTCATAATAGTAGATTTTATTAGAAAGTATAACAACTAATTTTAAATTTCTTGTTGGAATTGTAGAAGATACTAAAAATATGATGAATGAGATTAAAAAAGGATAAGAATAATAAAAAATTGAAATCAATCAAATTAAAAATGATATAAGCGTTGAAATTTAAAGTATTATTAATATTAAACTAGATGTTTATTAAAATAATATAATATCTAAAATAGATAAAATTTGTGAAGAATAAGAAGTGATCAAAATTAATTAATAAAAATTACTAGTTCAAAAAGATTAGGATTTCATAACATAATTTTAGGAGTCTATCAATGATAAATTTAAGAATATAGACAAATTTATGATAAGCATTCAGTAAGTTTTGTAAGAAAACAAATTAGAAAAAAAAGAATTCAACAATTAAGTAAATGAATAGTTCATAGCCAAACAATTAGATGAAAATTTTATAAATAAGTTAACAAAAAAAAATAATCCACAAAAAAAGGATAAATAATAAGTATCAAAAAATGAAGATTAAGAATCAAATAAATCTAATTAAAATAAACCGTAACAAGATTTTTAACTAATTCATTAAAAAAAGAGAGCTGGTACCTCATAATTAAAATCTAAAAATTAATAACAAAAATAAGGTAGATAAACAGAAATATACGATGATGGCGGTAATGATGAAGATAGATAATCTATGAAAAATTGAAAAATGTTTTATATTATATTTTATTTATCAAAATATAAATGAGTATTTGGATTAATTTTTATAAAGTATATAGTATTAAAGTATTATAATAAATTCAAATGTATAATAAATCATGATTTTATTATGTTTCTTAAACAACCTTTGATACAGTCTCTTGCAAATGGAATATAACTGGCCACATACCATGTATATGAACAAAACTCAGTCAATAGAAATATCAAAACTAGAAATTTTGATTTAAATAAATAAACTGAAAGAAAGATCATTACTAGAGAAGAAGCAAAGATAATGGATGTCATTTTTCTTTCATTGTCAATCATATTTTCAAATTATTTTTTAAATCCTATTAGAAATGCTGTTCTATAATAATTAATATTTAAGAATACCCAAACAATGCTAAAATATTTCCTAAACTATATGTAAGTGCAAATTTATTAGGACTACCACCCAAAATTCCAATAAAGGATCCAAAACTCAATATTTAAATAAAATATCCTTTTCTATGAAATTTATTACTTACCTAAAATAGAGCAGAATGCAAATCCCATTAATCTTTCCTTATAAGTAAGTGATGGGAATAGACTTTCATTTTCATTTTTAGGTTTCATAGGTCCACCAATATCAAATATCTACATCATTTTTTATTTATGTAAATTAATATAAAGCTCTTAACAAAAACAGGATGTACTTTATGTTAGAAACCAATTTTTATTCTAAAAAGATTGAAAACTCATTATGAGAATCATCTTAGAATATTATCAATTAATATTGACAACAGAAAAGAATATGAATAATACATAAACAAGGTGCCTGTAATTTTAATCAATGAGAAACCTATTTGTGAAATGAAAATATATGAGGGTTTAATTAGATAAGAAATAGAGAATATACTATAATAAAAATGAGTTATTATGAATAAGATAATTGTTAACCATCATATTATTCTATCTTCTTATTAATTTTTTATGTTTCTGAATTGAAATTCTTATTAATTCTTAATTGATTAAATATTTATATGAAAACATTCTAATAATAAAATTCTTAATAAAAAATAATTAGAATCAATTATTTATAATATAATAATAAACAATTTTATTTACAAAAAATGAATAGATTATTTTCATTAATACTTTTTTTTCAATTCTTCATATTTCTATAAATCTTATTCACTTACTGAAGGTCTAATACTTTTCAAGGCTTCTCTCAAATCTTCAATAGCTAATTCCATTTCATTCAACCCACTCTTAATAGTTCTTTTTGTTGCATAAATAGTAGCTTAACTTACTAATCCATAAAAATCAGCTCCAGTCATATTATTTGGTATTTCATCAATAATTTCATCAAATTTATCACTTTTAGTAAGTGCTCTTAATATTTTAACCCTACTTTCTTTATCAGTTTTAATGCCTAGATACATTAATTTATCAAATCTTCCTGGTCTTAATAAGGCTGGATCTAATAAATCTGGTCTATTTGTAGCCCCTATAATAAATATTCCATCTGATAAATTATCAATTTCAGTTAATAATTAAGCAACAATTCTATCCATAACTTAATTAGAATCACTTTAATTTCCTCTTGCTGGAGCCAAGGCATCCAATTCATCAAAAAATACAAGTGAAGGTGCATTGTCTTTAGCTTTTTTGAATAAATCTCTTATATTGGATTCACTTTAACCAATATATTAATTCAACATTTCAGGTCCTTTAACAGAAATAAAATTCATTTTCATTTCACATGCAATACATTTAGCCAATAAAGTTTTACCTGTTCCAGGTGGACCAAAAAATAGTATACCTCTTCTTGGTTTTACAAGTTCATCAAATAATTCAGGATACATTTGTGGTAATATAATAGTTTTTGCAACTTCTTTGATTGCACTTTCCATTCCACCAACATCATCCATCTTTGTTTTTGATGAAATTGTTTAAGCTATTAATTTATAATTATTATTACTTTTTAATTTAGATTCTAATTCTTTAACAAAATTCTATTTATTTTAAATAATTTCCTTTTCTAATACTCTCCATGTTGTTTCTCTTAATAATTATGATATTTCATCTTCATTCTATTCTAATTGATAAAATTCAATTAATTATTTTGAAACATTAGTTTATGGATTAAATTTTATATAAAAATCAACGAATGATTTTAAAATTGGATAAGTACTAAAGTTTTCATTAGATAATATTAAGATCACATTTTTTAATTTTTTTATTCGTTTTATAATCTTAATCATTTCATTACTAACATCATCTTTGCTCACATGTTATTTATTAAGTAATAAAACCTATTCAATTTTTGAGAAATTCCTTAACAAAAGTATGCAAGGAGAATCTTAAATTTTTAATATCAATTTTTCAGTGAATCTTAAAGAACTAATCAAACCAAAATCTTTTTCAAAATACAATATTCCATTCTAATTTGCTATTTATTTCAATAAAATTCTTTTTCCTAAACTAAACTATATAAAATATAAATGCTTACTTCTTTCTACTTTCAACTCCTATTGATATTGATTTATGAAGTCTTATGATATCATTTATTTATTTTTTGAAATTATCATAATCTCCTAATTGATATACAATATCTTAGAATTTCAAATCAAGAGTTGATTTAATTACATTAGAATAAGAATATTCATCTTAAAATTTGATATTAGTAACTTTAAAATCAAGAATATACCAATCATTTTATTTTTCTGCTTAAATCTTATCAATATGAATATAGACATATTGATCTCTTAATAAATTATTTAATTGACAACAATTAGTAATTTTGGATCTACATTTAGATGATATTTCACAATTCTACAGTCTATTTTCAGATAATACAATACTATAATCTTTAAAGCAATTGTTCATCATTTAATGTACCTTTGATTATAAGTTTTTCTTTGATCATAATTGGAACATGAAACAAAGCCTTTAAAAATTTTTGGGTAATTAATCTTGAATTTTCATTGTTGATCTAAGAGATTTATTAAATATACTTACAATTGATAATGTGACTTCTTTACATATTGGTATGTTAGGAAAAAAATTATATCTAAAATTTTTATCATCATATTAATAAGGAGAGTGATTTGCTTTAACAAAATGGACATTTTAAGGATCTTTTAATTATAAGTACAAATGTTAAGATATATAAATTTGATTATCTTTGATTTCATCATTACAATTAATCATAATAGTTAAGTGATTATCTAAATATATATATCCATATGCTAATATATTAAAGTGATCCATTATATTCCTTGAAGCTTAAATAATATATTATTCATTAATATTATTAGTATAATTTATTTGTCTGGGTGTTAGAACAAACATTTGATTATTATTTGTTAAAAAAAATAAATAATTCAAAATAATCAAAATGTTTTCCATTTATTCTTATCATAACAAGACCTGATCATTTAATCATCTTTTAAAAGACACATTATTTTATTAGAATAATAAATAGGTTATGTTAGAAAATATGCTTATTATGGAATAGGATGTTAAAGTTAATAATATAATTTTGGTTAAAATTCTAAAGTAATAAATAATATTAAAATACTTATCTAATCTTAATCAAATTCTTCTTCTTCTTCTTCAATTTAAATCATAAATCCTTGATTAATAGTTTAAAATGATTATTTTTATAGTATTTAACCACCAAATATATATATCATATTAGAATTAAGAATTTAAATAGAAGTAGATAAAATAATATGTAATGGATATTATGTATGATTAGTAATGTTTTCTACTCTTTCCCAACAATCTTATTCTATAAAATACAATTCTAATAAGCCTTAACATTATTTTCTTAAATCTTCTCCTTCAGTATTAGCAATTAAACCACCAAATTTAACAATTAATTTATTATTATATATACATGTTGAATATAAAGTTGATAATTCTGTTAAATGACTTATAATTATTAATTAAATTATCCTTAATTAATGTAATTTAATTAGTATTTATATTATATTTTTCACATTTAGCTAAACAACCTTCTTTATAATTTTAACCTCCAATAATAAATATATCTTTATCTACCGTACAAGATAATGAAAAGTTCTTTCTTAGAGTATACATTCTAGTCTTTTTAATGAATGATAATTATGGATGATCATATTAATAAATAGTTTTATTTTCATCATCATTTTAACCATTATCATATCCTGAAAAATAATATATTTAACCATCTGATGCCAAAATAGATCTACTACCTTAAGATATAAGAAAATTGATTTCAAGTTCAACTTTTGTTATTTATGGATTTTATTGTTTTAAATCAAAATAATACAAAAATTTAGTTCCAGGTTCAAAATAATGTAACCATGATCGATAAAATGAATATTCTTAAGTACCTTAAATTGTATTTTTCATTTCATCTAACTTTTCAGGAGCATAACTTAAAAACTTTTAAAAATTCTTAATAGATTTCTATTTAGTTTATTGTGCCTATAGAGTCATTTAATTAAGACTCTCAATTTAAGAACTTAACTTATTTTTTTCATATATCACTAATTATTCTAATTCTTTCTAAATCACTCCAATAAAATGTAAAGCTACATCATCATCTATTCTACCATAAAATTTTTTGATTAGCTCTTTAATATATAAGTGATTCCAATCTATTTTTCTGATATTATACTTAATAATCCAAATCTGTAGACATCACTTTCTTTTGAGTATCAATTGAATTTATATCATTTTAAAATTATCTAATTTATGTTAATTAACCTTAGATTTAATCATATAAAGCATGAATATTCTATTTTACTTTATATTCAAATTTATCTCTCAATCCTTATATATATTTGTCAAATAATTTATGAATCTATTATCTTATTGATTCTATTTCTAAAATAATCTCATCAATATTGCTATTAACTGATGTTATTAATGCATTTGCTGCTCTATTCTCTGCTAATTCCAATTCCTCTTTTACCATATTCAAATTCTTCTCCACTTATTATTTACATTCTTATATTGTTATTGTGAATTATTTATTTTAATATATTTAATTCTTTTTATATCTACTTTCATGATTCAATTTGCAATCATTACATAATCGTTTATATTTAAAACAATCTGGATGTATGCAACTGTCTCTTAATTATATGAATTTACATGTATGTAAAGTCTTTCTAATGTAACTTGCACTTATCCTCCATTATTATAGAAATAAATTAATTACAATATTAACAAAAATAATAAATTTATTAATTAAATCATTCATTTTCTAAATTATAACAATTACTTTTCTATTAAGAACAACTCTGCTATAATTTATTTTTAATTGCCAATTATTTTATGAAATTACAATATCCTGGACATTCTAATTCTTATAATTTACTCCATGTACAAAATGATAAATTACTTTTATTCTTCTTTCTTTCTTGTATCTATTCTTAATTCTCAAAATATTTTTATTAATCCTCACTATTATGTAATTATTTATTATTCATTTTACATTTACTCATACTTGTAGAACAATTTCTAATAAAAAATATTTTCATATATTTATCTTTTGTGTCCAATACTTCTTTTTTCTTTCTTGCATCTGCAGATGTTGTAAAATTGAATTAATGTGGATACTTATTCAATAACTCTTTAACAGCCACCTCTTATATTTAATTCAATTATCTTTATGATTCTCTTGAAACTTTTTATGCATCTTCTTTTGATTATGCCAATAATTTAATTTCATAGAATTTGTTTATTTTAGATGAATTCATTAATGTTATTGGATCTTTTGGAATTTTTTAAAAGAATTCATTAGGCTGCTTCTTCAATTTCTCCAATTTTTATAATATTCTATCATCCCATATTGTATCCGATGTTTATAATGCTTGCTAGTCACAAGTCTCATTTCTTTATAAGTCCTATAAGAATTTTACTTCAGGTTTTTTTATTTTTCTTTTTATATGCTTATTGATCAATACTTTCTAGTTTCTCTAGGCTTTTATTTTATTTCATCCTAACTTTATGAATGCTTTTATAAACCAGAAAGAATATGTTTAAATTCTATTCTTTGTAATGGAACTGGTATTCTTTAATTGTAATAATACATTTCAATAATAATATTTTCCTTATTTTATTAAATGTATTCATATATATAATATAATTTATTTAACTTGAAAATTATTATTATAAAAATCTTAAAAATATCACAAAATGATAATCATATTTGTTTTATAATTATGATTCAAAATAACTATTACTATTTATTATTTTGATAAATCTTAAATTTATTTAATTCTTAATCTAATTTTATATTCTATTGCTATTATTATTATTAAATCGACTATTATATTTTTAAGTTTTCAATTGCTTTTCTTTTTTCTTCTATTTATTTTTTTAATTATTCAATATCAATTTACTATTCTTTTAATATTTATTCTTCATTTTTTAAAGAATTCAATTCATTTTGATAATTTTGTCCTATCTAAATTTTTGCTGTGAACTATTAAATACTTTCTTAAAGTTCTTGTATTTGATTAGGTAATTATAAAAAATAATTTTTTTTGTTTTCTAATTTTTAATTTTCTTCTTATAAATTTGAATATAGTGAAGAAAACTAATCGAATTTATCAGCTTATATTTCATTATTGGATTTTTCTATTTGATTTTTGAGATTTTGAATTTCCTGCTATAATTTATCATACTTTTATTTTTAAGTTTCTTATTTTAAATTTTCTGTTTCATAAATTTTTATTTCATTTTCTAAAATGCTAATTTAATTTTGATCTATATATTTCTTTTCTTCATTAATTTTTTTTGTTAGTTCTGATATTTTTTTTTTCAGTTAATCTTGATAGTATATTTGTTTTTCTACTTCTTAATTCTCTTTTATTAATTCCTCTAATTGATAATTTAAATTCTTATATTATTCGAGTTAATTTTTGGATTTCTCCAAATTTTCTAAAGCCTTTTTAATTTTTAATTTTTCACTAATTAATTCGTTGTTTTTATTTATTTTATTCTAAATTGCATCATAATCCTAATTGGCATGTTATTACTTCAGTTATTAAGCTAATTGTTCAGTTATTGTTTACATCACTTATTATTAGTTGCCCAAATTCTTTTCAACTTAGGCTATCAAATTTTCAAATTAAAAAATAATTTACATGGTTTATTCTTTATCTTATTATAGTGACTTGATATTTATCGAATTCTTTAATATTTAAATGAAATTCTTGGTTTCATTTAACGAATATACTAAGTCTTTAGTACTTGAATAGTGCTAAGATAATTGCCCTGAATTTTGTTGTTTTTGAGTTAATCGGCCTTGATTTTATAGAGAAAAAATCTATTGCCCTTGCTTTTATTGGAATTGATATTATTGGAATAAATTCTATTGCCCTTGATTTGATTGTTATAGATTTAATTGCCCTTGATTTTATTGTTATAGATTTAATTGCCCTTGATTTTATTGTTATAGATTTAATTGCCCTTGATTTTATTGTTATAGATTTAATTGCCCTTGATTTTATTGTTATAGATTTAATTGCCCTTGATTTTATTGTTATAGATTTAATTGCCCTTGATTTTATTGTTATAGATTTAATTGCCCTTGATTTTATTGTTATAGATTTAATTGCCCTTGATTTTATTGTTATAGATTTAATTGCCCTTGATTTTATTGTTATAGATTTAATTGCCCTTGATTTTATTGTTATAGATTTAATTGCCCTTGATTTTATTGTTATAGATTTAATTGCCCTTGATTTTATTGTTATAGATTTAATTGCCCTTGATTTTATTGTTATAGATTTAATTGCCCTTGATTTTATTGTTATAGATTTAATTGCCCTTGATTTTATTGTTATAGATTTAATTGCCCTTGATTTTATTGTTATAGATTTAATTGCCCTTGATTTTATTGTTATAGATTTAATTGCCCTTGATTTTATTGTTATAGATTTAATTGCCCTTGATTTTATTGTTATAGATTTAATTGCCCTTGATTTTATTGTTATAGATTTAATTGCCCTTGATTTTATTGTTATAGATTTAATTGCCCTTGATTTTATTGTTATAGATTTAATTGCCCTTGATTTTATTGTTATAGATTTAATTGCCCTTGATTTTATTGTTATAGATTTAATTGCCCTTGATTTTATTGTTATAGATTTAATTGCCCTTGATTTTATTGTTATAGATTTAATTGCCCTTGATTTTATTGTTATAGATTTAATTGCCCTTGATTTTATTGTTATAGATTTAATTGCCCTTGATTTTATTGTTATAGATTTAATTGCCCTTGATTTTATTGTTATAGATTTAATTGCCCTTGATTTTATTGTTATAGATTTAATTGCCCTTGATTTTATTGTTATAGATTTAATTGCCCTTGATTTTATTGTTATAGATTTAATTGCCCTTGATTTTATTGTTATAGATTTAATTGCCCTTGATTTTATTGTTATAGATTTAATTGCCCTTGATTTTATTGTTATAGATTTAATTGCCCTTGATTTTATTGTTATAGATTTAATTGCCCTTGATTTTATTGTTATAGATTTAATTGCCCTTGATTTTATTGGAATTGATTTAATTGCCCTTGATTTTATTATGCTTGGACGGATGGTTATACTATCTCACTTTTTTTAAACAAATCTTATGCATCATTTGCAGTTATTCTTTGATAAGGATCTGGATGAAGCATGCTTTTGATTGTTTGCTTCCATTCGTTAGAAATCATAAGTCTCTCAATTTTATTGAATAATGAGGATTGATCTAATTTATGATTTAAGATTTATTTTTCTATCTCATGTGTATTTATTGCTATTAAAATTTTGATTAATTACTTTCAAGCAATTTCTATCCTTAAATAATTTCATAAAACACAAAAGCCATGGCCCAAACATCAACAGACATTGTATAATCTTATTTTCCTTCAATTAATTCAGGTGCTTGAAAAAGCTTTGTACCAACAGATTTGGTCATGCGTTTTTCATCTTCATTGAAGTACTTAATTAATCCAAAATCAATTAATTTAACTTATTGGTCAATAAATAAATAATTTTCTGGTTTGATATCCCTATGAACTAGTTTTTATTTATGTAAAAAGACTATTGATTATAAAATCTAATAAAAATAAATTTAATACTTATAAACAAATTGATTACTTTTACTAAATTGTTAATGTTTTTTTATTCTATTCAATATATTTATATAGGTCAATATCTCCTAATTCCATTACTAAAACGAAATAATTAGAAAAATCAAAAAAATCATGAATTCTTATAATGTTTGAAGCTTAATAATTAGAGCTATTATAATTTTCATTTTTATTCTAATAGTCTATAATTTGTTTATAAAACTATTTTGCATTATCCTTAATAATAGTTGAGAATTTTAAAGCAACTTTATTCTAATTTTAACCCCAATTTATTGGAATTGCTTCATAAACACTACCCTCTGATCCTTATCCTAAGAGTTTTGATAATTTAAACTATCTATTAGGATACTATCCTGAAGGTGCTGATATTATTGTGCCGACATTTATTTAGTTAAACTAATTCTATTAATACATAATTAAATAATATTAGAATAGATTTAATAAATTTTTCCTTAAGATTTAATTTTTTTCTAAAACTTTGTTAAATTCATTAAATTAGAAATCAAACTAGATGAACTGATATTTAGTTTATTGTGTTATAGTATTGGTTGATATATTTTTTTGAAATTCTATCAAAATTAAATAATTAATTTTTATTGATACAAATTGCAATAAATGATTTTTGGAAATATTGAGTATTTATAAATTATTGTATTAAAAAAGAAAGTATGATTTTTTTAAATCCTACATTGCTTGGTGCAAGTGAGGATTTTACAATATAAATCAAAAATTTTGTAATAAGTACCATTAAATGATTAATAAATCAATTTAACTTTTATTTTGCAGAAGCTAACTCAATGAGAACATTCGATTTTATTATTAGGAATTAGAAACACTACTAAATAATTAGTTTATATAAAATATTTTTTATCTCATAATTGCCTATTTTATATCTCTGAAAAAAAACTAGAATCTTTCATTGTACTGACTAGTAATTCTTTCAAGTTAATTTTCTTTATAAATGTTTCAATTTTTAATATAATTTATAATTCAATTCTCTAAAATATCTGTGAAGAATAATACTAATAACTATTGAAGCTAAAACTTTGAAATATTTAATCAATTTGTAAAAACATAAATTATATGAGGCTTCTTCATTTCTAACAAATCTATTATCTAGCCAATAATTATTAGATTTATTAGTAGTTCTTATTAGTCTTACTAGAATTATATAAAATCTAATAATTAATAAAAGATTTCAATAGTTTACAAACTAATATGAGTTTTTTGTAATTTTAATTATAGAAATGTAATTAATATTTTATTTCATATATTATTATTACATAATTGAAAAAAATAAATAAAAAGAATATAAACTATATAATTGTTCTAAATAATGTATTATTATAATTTAAAATATAATAAGATATCCAAAATAGTGTTAATATTACTTAATTTTATATGATCACATGATCTTTTTTTGAAATTCAATAAATTTAATTTATATACAATATAATATTTTATTGATTAATGTTCAATATAGTTTTATTAGTGGTTCTAGTGTTAGAGATTTAAGCTGATAAATTAGTATAAATTCAAGCATTATGGAGACATGGTGCAAGAACACCAATCTTTTGTAATTGGAATTGTATGTATTTCAGAAGTCATGAAATGCTTGAAGGTTATTTAACACCTACAGGAATGAGGTAACATTATGTCTTAGGTTAATGGATGAGAGAAAAATACATTGTAAAAAACAAATTATTAAGTGATACCTTTAATGCATCAGAAATTACAATTTATGCCACAGATGTTAATCGTACAATCATGAGTGCAATGAGTAATTTCTAAGGAATGTACTCAAATAATGGTCCTAATGTTCCTAATAATGTAGAAGAGTCATTTCTTAAACCCCCTAATCNAACACTACCCTCTGATCCTTATCCTAAGAGTTTTGATAATTTAAACTATCTATTAGGATACTATCCTGAAGGTGCTGATATTATTGTGCCGACATTTATTTAGTTAAACTAATTCTATTAATACATAATTAAATAATATTAGAATAGATTTAATAAATTTTTCCTTAAGATTTAATTTTTTTCTAAAACTTTGTTAAATTCATTAAATTAGAAATCAAACTAGATGAACTGATATTTAGTTTATTGTGTTATAGTATTGGTTGATATATTTTTTTGAAATTCTATCAAAATTAAATAATTAATTTTTATTGATACAAATTGCAATAAATGATTTTTGGAAATATTGAGTATTTATAAATTATTGTATTAAAAAAGAAAGTATGATTTTTTTAAATCCTACATTGCTTGGTGCAAGTGAGGATTTTACAATATAAATCAAAAATTTTGTAATAAGTACCATTAAATGATTAATAAATCAATTTAACTTTTATTTTGCAGAAGCTAACTCAATGAGAACATTCGATTTTATTATTAGGAATTAGAAACACTACTAAATAATTAGTTTATATAAAATATTTTTTATCTCATAATTGCCTATTTTATATCTCTGAAAAAAAACTAGAATCTTTCATTGTACTGACTAGTAATTCTTTCAAGTTAATTTTCTTTATAAATGTTTCAATTTTTAATATAATTTATAATTCAATTCTCTAAAATATCTGTGAAGAATAATACTAATAACTATTGAAGCTAAAACTTTGAAATATTTAATCAATTTGTAAAAACATAAATTATATGAGGCTTCTTCATTTCTAACAAATCTATTATCTAGCCAATAATTATTAGATTTATTAGTAGTTCTTATTAGTCTTACTAGAATTATATAAAATCTAATAATTAATAAAAGATTTCAATAGTTTACAAACTAATATGAGTTTTTTGTAATTTTAATTATAGAAATGTAATTAATATTTTATTTCATATATTATTATTACATAATTGAAAAAAATAAATAAAAAGAATATAAACTATATAATTGTTCTAAATAATGTATTATTATAATTTAAAATATAATAAGATATCCAAAATAGTGTTAATATTACTTAATTTTATATGATCACATGATCTTTTTTTGAAATTCAATAAATTTAATTTATATACAATATAATATTTTATTGATTAATGTTCAATATAGTTTTATTAGTGGTTCTAGTGTTAGAGATTTAAGCTGATAAATTAGTATAAATTCAAGCATTATGGAGACATGGTGCAAGAACACCAATCTTTTGTAATTGGAATTGTATGTATTTCAGAAGTCATGAAATGCTTGAAGGTTATTTAACACCTACAGGAATGAGGTAACATTATGTCTTAGGTTAATGGATGAGAGAAAAATACATTGTAAAAAACAAATTATTAAGTGATACCTTTAATGCATCAGAAATTACAATTTATGCCACAGATGTTAATCGTACAATCATGAGTGCAATGAGTAATTTCTAAGGAATGTACTCAAATAATGGTCCTAATGTTCCTAATAATGTAGAAGAGTCATTTCTTAAACCCCCTAATCCAAATGCTAAACCAGATGATGATATTGGATAATAAGCAATTAAACATTAGATATAAGTTCTTCCAATTCATATGAGAGCAGCTCTTACTGATATTCAATTAAGAGCTTATGGAGCACCATAATGTGCATAAGCTGCCAAATTTTAGATTGAAAATTAACATACAGAACTTGTAAAAAATGTAAGTGTCAAAGCTCATGATACAATAATTCAATTTTGTAATGAAATGAATATAGATCCAAATAATTTCACCATCTTCAACATGTCTGAATATATGGATACATTCTATTCAAGTATTTATAATGATTATCCAATGCCTCCTAATTTAAAAAAAGAAACCTATGATAAAGCAGATGCAGCATATTCATTGACAATTGCATTGAAATTATATTAGACTTGGAAGTATATAAATTTATATTCTTAGATAAATTACAACTTAATCAGCTCCATTTTTCGATTAATTATTCGATTATACAGAGAAGGCCTTAAATAAAAGTGAAAATAATAAATCATTCAAATATGTAGTATACTCAGCTCATGATGTTACAGTATAATTAATTGCCTCTGCATTAAATATTACATCAGCTGAATGCATGGCTCAAGTATATCTAGGTTAGGAAGTACAAAATAAAAATTGTATCTATACATATCCGGGATTTGCTTCAAATATTATTTGGGAATTATGGCAAGAAGATACTACCAACGAACCTTACTTTAAGATACTCTATAATGGTACAGAAATGAATTTGTGTAATAAGAATTCAACCAAATGCTTGTATAAGGATTTCAAAGAATTAATTTTAGCTTAAAAGGGAGATTTTGAAAAAGATTGTGATATTGAAATAGAACCAATTGTATAATTATGATATATCCATAGATTGAATATAGAGTTCCTGTTTGGATGACAACACTTACTATTATATTTATTGTAATCATTGTTGGATTTTGTTTTTATGGCATATACTTGTACAAGTAAATAAGATAGGATAAAACTTTGTTAAGTTAAAACATGTGATATTTGAGATTTAATATATAAAATTATCAAAATTTGTATTTCTAATTTATCAACCAATTCTATTTTCCCTCTTAAAATTAACAATATATTAAATTATTTATGATAAAAACTACATAAACTCCACTCAATAAAGAAGAACAAAGACGCTTAAATTAAATAGTTTAATAATTACTAGACTCTAATGACAGCGTAGAATTTAGACAACCAGTGGATTACAAAGCATTAAATTTACATGATTATATTACTATTGTCAAAAAGCCGATGGATCTTGGCACTGTCTAAAGAAAATTAAATAGCAACACATACAAAACAGTGGAAGAATGCTTAGATGATATTCAACTTATTTGGGATAATTGCAAATTGTATAATGGTTCATAGAGTGTAAATATTAATAAAAATAATCAAGTGGATTACTAAAATAGCAGAAAAATTAGAGAGATTATTTAAGAAAAATGTTAGAAACTATTTACCTCTTGTAAATTTACCACAATTTGTGCCTAAATAAAAAGAAGCAGGGGCAGGGGCTGATGTATTCTAGGAGGAACCCCAAGATTAAGTGAGTTACAATGACAAAGTTGAGTTTTCTAATAATCTAAAACAATTGGCTCCTGAATAAATTGGACTCATAGTTCATATGATCTAAAATACATCTCCAAATGCATTCATTGAGATAGAAGGAGAAAAATATTAAATCATAGTAGACTACATTGAATATGAAGCATTTGTTAAATGTTAAAAGTAAATACAAACTTGGATTGCAGGAGATTCAATAAACAAGAAAGTGAAAATTTGACATATATATCTATAATTAAATATTTGGAATGAAAATATATTATATTAAATATCATTTTCTAATTCCTAAATATATTTGATTGAAAAGTACCACTGAAAACAACCCTTCATGTCGATATTTATGAAATTTTTAATGAGATTAATATTCTAAGAAATCAGAATGCAATCAGTTAGATTATGCAAATCAATAAAATAAAAATTTCAGCAACAATATATTTCTCATTTAGCCCTAATATTCATAAATTATGATTGTGACTATACATGTATTGTTGAATTTAAATATTCACTATATTATTAGAAGCATTTTATATACGAAATATTACTTTTCTTATTTCTGATATCCATAATGGATTTATTTTTAGCATAATCTCACTGAATTAAATAATGAGTTTACAATAACGATTCTATTTTTTAGTCTTTTAATCATTTTTTACATTTTTTATTTCTAGAATACTTAAAATATGATCTTCATGAAATATCTATTATTTTCCATATAATTAATAGAATATGTAATTTAATAAAAATTAACAAGATGGTAAATTGAAAAAAAAGATGAAAATAGTATTCTAATTTATATTAAGGAAATTAATTGGCCTCTAAAAATTAGTATTTAAATAGTTTCTAATAATTTATTTATCAGTGCAAAATGAACTATTAATAATCCATAACTTTACTTATCTATATTTAGATATATCCTTTATTAAAAATATGAAACCTTCATTTAATGAATAGATTTCTAATCTAATATTTCTTTCACCTAAAAATGTTGTTATAAATATTCCATTTAAATTTTGAGCGATTAAATAAACTTTTTAGTTGTCAAATTTTTCAACATTCTTACAACCACTTAGGGTATTATCTAATTATAAAATTATAAAAATTCTTTAAATCCTGGAATACATGGTTACTTTCCCTTTTTATTAAGTACTAATTTAAATTATTTACTATTTTTAATACTTATTTGTCTTTGTTTTTTCTACAATTTGCCATGCCTTTGCACTCAAGTAGGTGTTTAAATAAACCCCCAATTACCACTATTAGCTTATAGATAGCTTCTTTTAGTAAATTCTATTGAAATATAATTATGATTTAATCTTGGAAATTAAACTAATACCAACCAAGAAATTTAGAAATTATAAGGATATGAAACTGTAATTTTTGGTAATAAAAATTATTTCATCAAATAATACATTATTCTTGATAATTATTCTGTAGCAAAAGGAGTTGATTTTAAAATTTTTCTTAATTCTAAATATTTTTGTATTACTTATTAAATCTATCTTAATCTTAATCTATTTTAATCATATATTTCATTCTATTATTCTAAATCTTCATCCTTTCTTCCATTCACTTCAAATAATAGTCAACTATTAAATTCTAATAGTAATTTAACCCTGCCTTCAATAATTCCTGTTATATTTTTTTTTGTTTAAGAATGTTTAACAGAGTTTAAATTTTAATTTATGATTCAAATTCTATCATTTTCTAGAGTTTTAATGCATGAGTTTGTTAAGTCATTCTATTCTTTCAAATATTTAATTATGTTGAGGCTTCTTAAACTTCTTTATTTAAATTTATTTGTTATTATATCTTAAAGCTATTTATTTTTCATTTATAAATCTATAGGTTAAAACCACATTCTTGCATTCCTTCAATAATTAAGAATAAGTAATTTTGCTCTTTCAAGAGTCTCTAAGTGATTATTGATAATCCCTTTATATCTTGTATTCTATATTAATCAATCATTTCAATAATAAATTATAAATGTAAACTTTAACAATAAGCAAAAATCAATTATTTCTCGCACTTGGCCTCCCAGTATTAGTTTGAAATTTTTTTTGTTCCTTCTCGTATTATTCTTTTTCTTATTTTAATTTTGTTTCCTCCTCTTGCATCTCTAATTTTAAATTCTTTTATTAATTTAATTATTTTATTTATTAATTTAATGATTCTATGTTGTTTTGTATTGTTTCAAGGTTTTTCAATTCATTTTTTAGTTTTTCAATATCTTATATATAAGTTGCCTATTTTTCTCTTTCATTAGGTAATTCTCTAAGTTTAGCTTTCATTTAAATTATTTCTTATTTTTTTTTATTGACATCTGCCTCTATATCTTATAGTTATTTTATTTCTTTTTCAAGTTCTTAAATTTATTTTTATTATTATTGAGATTAGGATTAAAAAATTTATAATCTTGCAATTTCCTATTTGAGACTATCTATATGTTGTTTATTTTTCTCTAGTTCATTCTAAATTAATTTTAGATATTCATGCTTAACCTTTAACTCTAATATTTCATCTTTTTATTTTATAACCTCATACTCTAGATTTTATAATATAGTGATCTCCTAGTTTAACTATTCAATTTTTTCTTGCTATTTTGATTTCTAAGTTTACAAGTAGCTAATTGTATTTATTTACTATTCTAATTTTAAAATCTTAATTTGATTATTTTCAATATCTTTCTAAAGTGAGATTTCAGTACTACTTTTATATTGATCTTATAACTCTTTTAGATTCTATTCTAAAATTTCTTTTTTCATAAATAGTTTCTACTTTTATCTCAAATCCTCAACTTTTTTTAAAGTTGATTTATATTCTTAATCTCTAAGCTCAAAATTCTAAGTAATTTATGTTAAGTAATTTAATTCAGTAGTGATTTTCTGAAAATTCTCATTTAAATCAAGTTCTTCTTAAATTGAAATAGATTTTTCCTCAATTTCTTAAATCAATTTCCTTTATTGATCTAATTTTTATTTAATACTAGGGGGAATTTCTTTCTTACAAATCTATTAATTTTACTTTTAAGTTTCTTGACTAGAATCAGAACTATTAGTTGATAATACAAAATTAGGGTTATTTTCTAATTAATTTTAAACTTTTATTATTTGATCTTTAATATTAGATAACAATTTGATTGATTATTCTTTTTGTTATTAAAATTAAATGATATTAGCAGGCTATTATAAATGCATTAGCAAAGTATTTAATTATTATATTAAGGAAATTTATTGGATGCTTTGCCCGTTGAGAGGAGTTTATTTTACAAAGTTTTATGGTATTTGTTATTAGGTTGGAATAATGAATGGGTTTTACTTGGGATTCATTAATATATTTTATTTTGTTAATTTTTCTTATGCATCATTTGCAGATATTCTATAATTAGGATCTGGATGAAGCATGCTTTTGATTGTTAGTTTCCATTCATCATTAATCATAAGTCTATCAATTTTATTATATATATTGGTTTGATTATTAATATGAAATTTTACTTAAGTTTCTAATTCTGTGGTGGTTTTAGCTAATAAAATAATACATAATTAAGATACCGTCTATCAGTTAACTTCCTGAGATAATTTCATAAAACACAAAAGCCATGGCCCAAACATCAACAGACATTGTATAATCTGATTTTCCTTCAATTAATTCAGGTGCTTGAAAAAGTTTTGTACCAACAGATTTGGTCATGCGTTTTTCATCTTCATTGAAGAACTTAATTAATCCAAAATCAATTAATTTAACTTATTGGTCAATAACTAAATAATTTTCTGGTTTGATATCCCTATGAACTAGTTTTTATTTATGTAAAAAGACTATTGATTATAAAATCTAATAAAAATAAATTTAATACTTATAAACAAATTGATTACTTTTACTAAATTGATAATGTTATTTTATTCTATTCAATATATTTATATAGGTCAATATCTCCTATTTCCATTACTAAAACGAAATAAAAAGAATAATCAAAAAAATCATAAATTCTTATAATGTTTGAAGCTTGATAATTAGAGCTATTATAATTTTCATATGTATTCTAATAATCTATAATTTGTTTATAAAAGTATCTAACATTATCTTTAATAAAAGTTGAGAATTTTAAAGCAACTTTATTCTAATTTTAACCCCAATTTATTGGAATTGCTTCATAAACATTGCCCTCTGATCCTTATCCTAAGAGTTTTGATAATTTAAACTATCTATTAGGATACTATCCTGAAGGTGCTGATATTATTGTGCCGACATCTATTTAGTTAAACTAATTCTATTAAGACATTTATTTATTTATTGATTAAATAAATTCTATAAAAAATATTTAATTTAAGAAAGTAATTGAATCAAAAATAAATAATATTAAAATATGAAGTATTTAATTGGCTCCTTATTAATTTCCTTTCTTTTTATTTCTAATTATTTTAATAGCACCT